TTATTGAGCGCCTTTCACGTCGGGAGGACGGCCCAAGAGACCAAGAGAAGACTGGCTGCTTCAGTGTACTTGCACATTGACCTTGAGGCCCTGCCCCGAGTTCCAATCTAGCCGATGGGAAGAAAGTGTCTGCCACTTGTACGGAAATTATCTTTGTGAAATATTAAGTCTACATGGTTCCTCTGGTCCACAGAGCAAAAATGTCCACAATTCAAGACCAAGCTATTGGATTGCATTCAGATAAGCCACAAAGATGTTGTGAAATGGAAATGCCATGCTGTGCATCAGGTGTGGATTAAGTTGCATTAGGCATTACAGTGGGAGCTTCACTCTACCTCTAATTTACTCACCTTTATACATCCTGGCAGTGAGTAGCCTCTTGGACACTCCTCTCCTTTACTTGTGGTGCTCAGTGGATTTTCTTCTATAAGTGCCTCCAGGCTTGTGGTGGGGTGGTGATGGAGCTGAAATTCAATGTTCTTCCGTTTTCTACTCTTTTTCATCCATAAAAGGATTACTAATAAAAGAGCCCATTAAAATAGAATAATTTGTCCCATAATCTTTTTCCTCTTCCCATGGATCAGTGACCACCTTCCAGTTGGGAAATGCCCATACTGACATAATAATAATCCTTGTATTTGATATAGCGCCGCTTTGACCCGAGCCCCCTCACCCCCTCCCTCCCTCTCCCCTCCTCTCCTCGCTCCCTCCCTTCGCTCCCCTCACCCTGACCATTTCCCCCCTCCTCTCTCCCTCCCTCCCTTCCCTCCCCTCACCCTGACCATTTCCCCCTGCTCGGGTCATGACCCAACTGTGCAGCGCCTTGGGACGTCCTCCTGACGTGAAAGGCGCTTTATAAATGGAATCTTGTTGTTGTTGTTGTAGCGCCTTATCATGTCTTCTAGACGTCTCAAAGTGCTTCACTCAATATACTGTAAAGTGAGTTGACTATATTTGTGGGCGAAACGCAGCAGTGTACAGCAGTTTCCCACAAGCAGTCATGGATTGAAGGGACCAATTTATTATTGTTTTTTTTCTTGAGGGATTTTTATCAGGCATGTGGAAAACTTGCCCAAGGTTTCGACCTGCCGGGAGTCTACTGACTATGGAATCGCAGGTGAAGTCCTTTGTGCCCATCAGTCCATGGAAGTGCCATCTGGATATTGTTTGTACCACGAACACTGAAGCCAATTATGTTATCCCCAAAGCTGCTCTTACCGGGATCAGCTGCTCTTACCGGGATCAGCTGCTCTTACCTAGACCAGCTCAGGGAACCTTACCATATAGCGTATTTAGTCACTGAGCTGTCAAGGGAATCTTCCTTTTATGTTATGAAAAAATAATTTGGTTTGTTCAGTGTTTTCCGTTAGTGGTGGCTGAATGAATAATTTTAATTCTTTGTAATTCAAGCATAATTGTCTGTGACATAGTGGCTGTTTGATCTTTGGACTACTTATTTCAGCCAAAAGACAGACTGGAAAATCACAAGAGGACACACATTCAGAAATGTTACAAACTCTAAGCATGTGGAATCATCCATTAATCGAGTGCCATGGCGTGTTCAAAATTAAGAGGGGTTTGGTTAAGTTAACTAGAGAGAAACTATTTCTGGTCAGTGATTCCCAGGCAGGGCGAAACCTTAGGCAAGTTTCCTTACTCCACACACCACTGTTTACCTAGAGGTAAGTAGAACCACGGTTGTTAGTCGATTGCCGAATTGCTTTCTGGGGGTAATAATCCCACAAAAAAAATAATAATTTGGTCACGCAATTCACGACTGTTTGTGAGACACTACTATGCTACCGTGTTTCGCCGACAAAATATACAGTCACTTTACAGTATATTCTGTGAAGTGCTTTGCAATCTCTCGATGACATGATAAGGCGCTGTATGAAATGCTAGGAATATTATTATTTGTTACTAGAGGAAATCAATTTAAGATCACCACAAAATGAACAAAGGGAGATATTAGTAGATTTTCTTTTTACACAGAGGGTTATTGTGTGCCGAATGTCCTACCAAACGCAACTGTTGAACCATAATCCAGAGGAGCTTTTAGAAAGGGAATTGAACAAATATTTGGTAAAGAAAAACAGAATTGGGGAAAGGGAAGCATAGGGTTGGGCTGAATTATGTGACTACAGATATTGCGATGTCTTGTTTTTTGTCACAAAGTGAGCTTACAGTAGCCTTCATTAACACTTTGAATGCCAACAGGTCACTGGAAACTCCATCTTAGGCACAGATCCTCCAGTTTTGTCTCCTATTTTTCTCACTCCATTCCCCTGTATGACATCAAGTTTTCCTATTTCTCTTCCTGGATCTCTGGAAGTGATTTTTTTTCTCTCTTTTCAATACAGGAATTCTTGTAGATATCAGAAGATATCATTCAAACGTTCGGGGCATCTTTTAGTTTTCAGTCATTTTTCCAAAAATGTAAGCGTTGTAAAGACTGGGTACAATACCGAAGCGTGAACATACCTAACATTGCCTGACCTGTGACTATTCAGGGAAGGTGGCCATTAGATATCGATCACTTGGGGATCCTGGCTCAGTGTTTTCTTTCTCTAACCCACTGACCATTGAGATCAATTTTAGCATCAACATTGGCTGAGATCAGCTCACCAAATCACTTCAATATTTATTCTGATGAAGAAAAGTGCCATGCCACATGGTGCAGTTACCCACTGAGATGTTAGGGGAGCCATTTGTTACTGACAGAGAAGCAGATTCCCCCCCCCCCCCCCCCAGTAATTGATGCCCCAAATGTAGTTTCATAATTGATGAACTTTGATACAGGTGTCCTTAATCTTTGAATTATTGATGGTGTCTGAATTTCAAGTACGAGCTGTTATAAAAATCGATCCCAAGAACTGAGACATTTATTATCAAGTCATTAATGGTACTCATACCTTGTGTGACGACCACATTCACCCTGGGGGGGTGGGGGAGTGCCTCTATGTCAGTTCCTGTAATTCCTTGCTTCGCTGTGATGTTGTACAGTGCAGCCTGAATCTACTGTGTGGCAATTTCTCCCAATGTGATACATTCTGAATTGTGCTACACAACTCTAAAGCAATTTACAGCCTTCTCTGCACTTTTGTGTCCTGCCAGGTAAAAAGAAAGACACCTCCATCGATATTCATATTTTATTGAGTTTTTATTACCTAGACACTTAGGAAGTATAAATATTAATAGATTGTGTGAGAAAGGGGTAAATGGGATTAGAGGAATTGCAGAGTGCTATGGAATGGTCTGTGGTGGAGTAGGCTTGTTGAGCTGAATGACCTTCTATATATTATCTTATCAACATACTTTCAAGATTGATGAATTGGCTCCAAGGAGACTTGCTTGTTGAAGCCAAGCATTTATCCATTAATCTAAGGCAGAGTTGAAGACTGATTAGCCAATATGGCTCATCCATGAGAGTTAGAGGTAGACATTTCTTTAACCTTGCGAGCCAAAGCCCTGGTAGGTTGGGTAATGTTAGCTAGACATGTATCAGGAATCTTACTAGTGCTTGTTAACAATAAACTATGAGATTGCCATTATTAATCTGAGCCAAAGCATTCTGATATAATCCTAACAATTCTTTCTTCGTCTTGCATGTTTATTTCAACCTTCTTATATTTTAGATATTATTATATTTTTCTGGTTGATCTTTGCTTTTTGAGTTGAATATTCTCAAATCACCATCGGTTTGAATAATTGGTCTTCAAGTCCCAATGACTTGTGAAATCGGAATAAACTTTTACTCCTTACCATAGTTAAATATAAACTTTTAAATATATACTGTATTATAAATAGCCAATCTATAGTGAGACACATATTGCTACACAGGCAATATCATCCTGAATGAAATTTGCTGTTGGATGATATTCCATATTGCTAACCAAAATCATCCCACTCATCCCGCGTTTCAGTTTACCCTGACTCTGCCTGAGAAGGTCGTAACTGAAAAATGCTGGCAATCCACAGGATGATTTGATTGTCCCAGAGAAAGGATTCAACAAAATGTCAGGGCTGAATTATTTTATGGAACACTTTCTCACCATTGAAACATAGTGGTATGATTCACATCGTGGTCTTGTTTTTCATACCAATGAAACCTGCTTGTGACGTGCTGTTGCATTATTTCCCAGGCAGGGTCACCGTAAAAGATAGACGCATCCCTCTTCCCACCTCCCATCAGCAGCTGTAGCGCTTTTAAAACTACCATCAATAAAATTCAAATTCAAAAGTACGCCAAAATGATACCAAATAATCAACCATTCAGAAATGTCAATGGCTTGTTATTTTGATTGTTCTGCTGTTTTTTGTAATTCTCATCATTTTCCTTGTGTGTGCCTTTCATTTTTCTCTTGTCTCTTTCATATCTGACACATTGCCATTTCATTATCTCCTGCTCACCTATCCTCTTTCTTTTCATGTCTATCATGTTTCTTCTTTCTTTGACTGCCTCGCTACGTTTGTATACAGTGCAGTAATGAAAAGTGATTGGCCATAATAATTACTTTCTGTCTGCGGAGAGCCCCTCATTATTGGGTGAACACTGCCACTAACACAAAGCGATTGGAATCCTGCGGTTTCAACAAGTGTTCACAGTATTATGTGAGCTGAGTAAACTATAAGATGGGCCAATAGAAAAGTGCGACTACAATGTTTCCACAGAATCTGCTAAACATCACCCCGGTTATACTCCCCACCCCCCCACCCCGCCCGCTACAAACAGCTCCCTCTGCTACAAACACCCCCAAACAGCCCACTCCTCTACCCCTCGTCGCCCTTCGCTGCCACCCTCCGCTACCCCTCCACCCACTTCCGCTAACCCCCCACCCACCTCCGCTACCCCCTACCCACCTCCGCTACCCCCTACCCACCTCCGCTACCCCCAACCCCTCCACTACCCCCCCAACCCCTCCGCTACCCCTCACCGCTATCCTCTGCCCCCCTCCGCAATGTGTGAATGGTTCCACTGATGTGACTGTGACCTCTTGCAGTTTCTCAGATGGTCTTAGAAGAAGTTAATGCTCTGCACACCCAGCTGGAAATCGAGAAATCCTGTCGAGAGAATGCTGAAGTCTTAGCCACAAAGGTAATGATTTTCCTCAGTTCTTCTGGATAGAGAAGATAGTTGTATGATTTGCTCCTAAAAATGCTCCCGCCATATTGGTGAGTTTGAGAGCTAACTGCCACTCAGATCCACTGGGAAGATTTACTGTGAAGCTTGGAATGCCAAACACTAAACACCGAAATAATAATAATAATAATCCTTGCATTTGGTATAGCTCTTTTCACGTCATCTAGACGTCTCAAAGTGCTCCACAGAATAGACTGTAAAGTGAATTGACCGTATATTTGTGGGCGAAATGCGGCAGCCAATTGCGCACAGCAGTGTCCCACAAACAGTCGTGGATTGAAAATGACCAATTTATTATTATTTGTTTTGGAGAGATTATTATTAGGCGTGTGGAGTAAGGAAACTTGCCCAAAGTTTCGCCCTGCCACTAGAATGGCAGAGCAGGCTGAACCAGGCTGAACGGCATCCTGCTTCCCTATCTTCCTAAAATTGGAGAAATGCTTATGCACAAACAGTGATGGACGCACTTCTCAAGATCGCACAAATCTTTCGGCTGTTTCCGTACAGACGATCTTTGAATCTTCTCATCATTTACAGCTCAGTCATGAAAACAAGAAGCTGAAGTACCTGAGCCTGTCGCGGCCATGCCTCGATGAGCTTCTTCCCAGTATTTCTGACTGCACTGCCACAGAGGAGGAGCCGCAGGACATCAGTCCTGACCCGTACAGTCAGTATCAGCAGCAGGTCAAAGGTGAATATTGGTGTTACATCTGCAGTAATCAGAGGGGAAGTGAAGATTAAAGGAAATTCAGAACTGAAGTACATATATTTTCAGCCACCTGCTTGTATGTCTTATAAATTTGGGATTTTTGAGCATCACAAAGTACTTCATTATAAGTGAAGCGATGGTGAATGGTTGTTTTTCTGACTGGAGGGAAGTGTGCAGTGGTGTCCCCCAGGAGTCGGTATTGGGACCACTGTTGTTTTTGATCTATATAAATGGCCTGGACTTGGGTACAGGGAGTACAATTTTCAAGTTTGCAGATGAGACTAAACTAGGAAAAGTAGTAAACAGTGAGGAGGATAGTAGCAGACTGCAAATGGACATAGACAAACTGGTAAAATGGGCCGACACGTGGCAGATGAAGTTTAATGTGGAGAAATGCAAAGTGATGCATTTTGGGAGGAAGAATGAGGAGAGGCCATATAAGCTGATGGTACAATCTTAAAGGGGGGGAAGGGACAGAGAGACCTGGGGGTTCATATAAGCAAATCTGTGAAGGTGGCAGAACAGGTAGATAAAGCTGTTAAAAAAGCATACAGGATACTAGGCTTTATAAATAGGGGCATAGAATACAAAACTCAGGAATTTATGATGAACCTTTATAGAGCACTGGTTAGGCCTCAGTTAGAGACTGTGTTTGGTTCTGGGCACCACACTTTAGGAAGGATGTCAAGGCATTGGAGAGGGTGCAAAGGAGATTTACCAGGATGGTACCAGGAAGGATGGTACTTCAGTTATGAGGAGAGGCGAGAGAAGCTGGGATTATTCTGCTTGGAGCAGAGAAGGTTAAGAAGAGACTTAATAGAAGTTTTCAAAATTATGAAGGGACTCGATAGGGTAAACAAGGAGAAACTATTTCCACTGGCGGGTGGGTCAGTAACCCGAGGGCACTGATTTAAAATAGTTGTTAAAAGAAACAGAGGGGAGGTGGGGAGAACTGTTTTCATGCATCGAGTTGTTCGGATCTGGAATGCATTGCCTGAAAGGCTGGTGAAAGCCAATTCGATAACAACTTTTAAGAGGAGTAGATAGATATTTGGGGAAGACAAGTTTGCAAAGCTATGAGGAGAGATTGGAGGAATGAGATTGATTTGGATAGCTCTTTTCAAAGAGTCGGCACAGACACAATTGGCCGATGGCCTCCTTCTGCGCTGTAATAATTCTATAATTCTATGAAGTCCATTATATGTGAGAAATTATCTGGAAGCTATAGGCTAGCAGGTTTAACATTCATTGCAAATGATCCAGTGAGCAAAGTCTTGGAATAACCTAATCTATTAAACAACAAGGCAGCGTGGATTCAGATTTTTCCATCATATAGTTGATGGAAAATGCCTCAGGATATTAATATTATTAGTTAGCTGTTGCTAGTCCAAGAGTTTGGCCACTGGATAAACTAGGGAAAAGTGGTGAGCTTGCAAAGGATGCATGGAGTTTGGGATAAGGGGAAGTGTTCTTGCTTCTACCGTCCAATCATTTTGTTCACAGATCTGCAGGAGACTGTCACACAACTGTTGGAGGAAAAGAAACAGCTGACTGGCCAATTACAGGAGCTGCAGAGCAACATCGAAGAACTGACTGCCAGAGTAAGTGTCAGCTCAATCAATGTGTTGGAGACGGTGTCAATACAGAAAGTGCTACTGTGACTGATAGGTTTCTGTAATTGCCAATTTAAGATAATGAAGACTTGCTGATAGGTGATCCTTCTCTCACCTTTGGTTTCCAAACTCTTCTCTATTGCAAGTTTTCTTGTTTTCCTCTATTTTATCGATACTATTATTGTCTTTGCTTCTCCAACCTTTATTATCTTGTGATTGCATAACTGCAAATACATAGTTCTGTATGCGTTTCCTCCTCCCTGGATTCTCACTGTGTTAGAAACATAAAAATATAGAAATTTGCTGCACAGGACAGGCCATTGGCCCTTTTAAATTACGTCGCCTTTCTCCTTAACTCCTTCTTTGAATGTAAAGATTGTGGAACTCCTTACTCCCCTCAGTCCCTTCATCTTGCAATCTACATGAATTTAATAATAATAATGCTTCCATTTGATATAGCGCTTTTCACATCTTCTAGACGCCTCAAAGCGCTTCACAGAATAGACTGTAAAGTGAATTGACTGTATATTTGTGGGCGAAACACAGCAGCCAATTGCGCACAGCAGTGTCCCACAAACAGTCGTGGATTGAAAATGACCAATTTATTATTGTTTTTGGTTTTGGAGGGATTATTATTAGGCGTGTGGAGTAAGGAAACTTGCCCTAAGTTTCGCCCTCTGCCTGGAATTGAACCAGGTTTCTCGCTTCCAAGGCGAGTGCTCTAACCACTGAGCTACAGGACTCCTTATCTAATTTAATGCCAGGCTTGGCATCTGTACCAGATTCAGGAGGAGACCTACGGTTTGTAATAGCCCAAAGTTTATTAAGCAAACCATACAAATAGTCAGGACATCGAACAGATTAGCCTAACTGAGACAATAGTTACAATAAAATTGATATTACCCGATTCCCTTGAGAAGCAAGTTGACCCTCTATGACGACTCTGCTTTTCCAAACATGACTTCAAGGATACTCTTCTGACATAACACTCAAAGCGGGATTGATTACATTGTATGTATATGTCAATCACTGGTAAAGATTGGAGGTTGCGCTTTCAGCCACCATGCCCTGAAACTCTGGAACACCCTCCTTCAATCCCTCCGCCTTGCTCCCTCTCTCCCCTTTTTCAAGTCCCACCTGAAAACCATCCTTTTCGACCGTGCTTACTGTCACCTTCCCACCCAACCCCCCACCGGCTCAGAGTCAAGCTCCGCCACTGTTAAGTGCTCTGATATGCTACCCTGCGTGGAGGCTGCTATACATGTGCAAGTTGTTGTTGTTCACCTGACGATTAAAGTCTCGGTATTGATAGCGCTGTGTTCCTTTGGGTTTTTGCAATGTTTTCAGCTGGAGAAAGAACAGGCTGAGATGACAGAGCTGCGAAATGTGTTGGAAAAACAAACCAAAACCATAAAAAGTATCAACAGAGGTAAGTTCAATTGCACCTGCCACTATTGTACACTAATTATCTGCAGTTATTTGAATTCACTTTGTAATCCACTCCATGAGAAATACATATTCTCCAACTCAGGGGTCTACAACTCTCTAGCATTATTACAAAAATACAAGAGGAAGTATGCTTACTTCATCTCAAAATAAAATATAAACTGTATTGTGTAAAATGAGGTAAACATCGCTCCTTTCTCTTGTTTTTATTGAGCATGCGCGAGGCCCCTGCTCAAGATCAACCATCTGAACCTCCCAATTAGATTCCAGCCTCTAGGTCCCTCTTGGGTTTCTATTTTGTATATAAATTGGCCATTATATATAACATGTATAATATATATATATTACTATAATTATATTCAAATTATTTTTCCCTGGCTCCTACCCTCCAAATGCTCCAAATCATACAAAACTCTGCAGCTATATTCTCTCCTTCACCAGATTCTGTAAGCCCATCGCTCCCATTCTCACCCTAGTGGGAGATAAAACTTTATGATTCCTGTCCTTATCTTTCATTCCTTCAAGATCTTGACCCCTTCTGATCAATTCAATCACGTCCAACCTAATATTTCTGATTCTGAGCTATTGCTCTGTCCACGCTTCCTCTGTACCACAATTGATCAACAAACCTTCAGTCATCTTGCCCCTACCCTCTAGACTAGTGATGGATGACATTTTTGGTTGGCCAACAAAATAAATTTTCTCGATTGAATGTTTCTTGATTTTTGCCGAAGACTCTTGAAAATATTCAGGAACCCACTTCTTGATGGCTCCGCAGGCCACTCTCGGCCTGCGGTCTGTGGGTTGGCCACCACTGGTCTAGACCTATCTGTTAATTCTATTGCCTCTCTGTCTTAAAAACATACCAAAACATATAGTGAAAAGCGCTATATCAAATGCAAGGATTATTATTATTATAACCTGTGTAAGAGGGCACAGAACAAGCAAAGGATGAGAAACGGTCAGAGCTGTAACAGATTCTGTTCACTGTCAGGGGGATTCAGAGGGTTCTTGATATCTGCAAGTTTATGACTTGTGACAGTCCACTGGGATTAGCTGCTTGTTTTCCCCTGCCCGGCTTCCGTGTAGAATTTACTAAAACCCCATGAGGTGGACGCGATAGCATTAACCTATCTGTGTGATATTTTCTGGCCTAGTTTCTGTGATGGCTACACAGGAGTACGAGGAGCTTAGACAGCAGCTGGAGCTGGAGCAGAACCTGAGGCAAAAAGCCGAAGCCTTTGCCCATGAGGTGCGTACATACATGCACAGGAGAAGCAGCAGCAGGAGGTCGGCTTCAGGACAGGGGGTGGAAATTAATTGCATTTAATGAAACATTGTTGGTGTTATTTCTTATTAAGCGTGGTTAACTGAACACATAAGAACATAAGAAATGGTAGACGAGAAAAGACCAAGGTCCATCTAGTTCGCCTTCCACCTTCCTGGCGGTCGCAGGCACACATGTCCCAAATCACCTACGTACTATATCCCACAATGTTATTTGCTAAAAGAAAACTATCTGTGTTTGAAAGAATCAACACTTCCTGCTTCAACTGTCTCCCAAGGGAGTCTGTTCCACAGTTTCACTATTTGCTCATTGAAATAGTGTTTGCATAGATTTGTTCTGAATTTACCCCCTTCAATCGCAGGCTGTATCCTCTGGTTTTATTATTCTGAACAAGTTGAAACACTGTCATGATCTATATTGTGACAGTAATATAGATCATTTGTCCCACTTTTCTCTGCGACATCCTTGAGTTCTCTTTCCAGATCAGATAGGTTACCCCTTTCCTCCTTGGTAAAGACTGATGTAAAAAAATTATTTAGCACCATTATTAAATGCTGCACAGGCTGCAATAGTGCTAAACAACACACTTAAAGATGAAATATTTATCACAAATCTAGTTGGAAAATATGAAAGTTGCTATCTCATGGAAAGGCAGCCCTTTCATAAACCAAATATAATGCTGCTATCAGTGATCAGAGACATCAGCAACCCTCCAGACACAAAGTAAATGAAGAGTTGTGACCCTCTCCGGATTCACAATAGAAATTCAGACAATTCAAATCAAGCACATGCCTGTAAAATGATTATAAGACATTCCTCCACGCTCTGCCAGTTTCTGAAGGGGTATTATCCTGTGGATGATAACTTGCTGACCTTAGGGAAGAACTTATAATGGGATCTATATAGGCGTGTGCAACTGAGATTGGTAAATTTACCAACAAGTGAAATCTCTCTTCCTGAGAATAGGATTCTTTATATATCATATCCTCTCCCACACTCACTGAAGTAACTGTATTGTGTGAAAAACAAAAGGCAATGTGCACAGCAAGGCTGTGGAGGGATTTGAAGATAAGGATCAGGAACTTGATATGTATCCTCTGAGTGATGGGGAGCCAGTGGAGTCGGGCGAGGATGGGGAAGATGGGGTCGCGGAGCCTGGTGTGGGAGAGGACAAGGGCTGCAGAGTTCTGGATGATCTGCAGCCTGTGGAGGGAGGAGGGAAGCTGACAAGCAGGCAGTTTGCGTAGTCGAGCCTGGATTGATGAATGGGTGGATGACGATCTCGGCGGCCTGGGGGAGAGATAGTAGCAGAGCCAGCAATGTTGCGGAGGTAGAGAAAGGTGGAAAGGGTCATGGCACAGATGTGGGGGATGAAGGACATTGAGGATCGAACAGGATCCCAAGGTTCTGTATTGGCTTTGTGAGGTCTAGAATGCATCCATGAAGGGTGATGCTGTCAGGGCCAAGGTATGGAGGCGCTGACAGGAGCCAAGCAGGAGAGCCGAGGTCTTGTTGATATTCAACTGGTGGAAGTTTGCTCTCATCCAGGACTTGGTGTCTGACAGGCAGTCGTCTGCCTTAAGTCACTTGGCCTAGCCAAACACTGCAATGGATCATGTGACCAGACCCGACCAGGCTACAAGGGAATAAACAACAGCATCTTAAGTTAGTTACATGGTACTAGATAGAAACAGTTCTTTAAATACAACAACAACAAAATTACATTTATAGAACGCCTTTCACGTCGGGAGGACGTCTCAAAGTGCTGAACAGTCAGGTGTCGGGGCCCGAGCATGGGGGAGGGGTGGTGTAGGGGTGAGGGAAGGCAGAGAGGTGAGAGGGAGACCAAACGCACGGTCGAAGAGAAGGGTCTTGAGACCGGCCTTGAAGGAGGGGAGGAAGCGAAGCCAAGGGACCGTGGGATGGAGTTCCAGAGTGTGGGAGCAGAGAGGCTGAAAGCCCGGCCACCGATGGTAGAGCAGGTCAGGCGGGAGACATGGAGCAGGCCGGAGCCCAATGAATGGAGGGAGTGGGCAGGTTGGTAGGGAGTCAGCAGGTCAGAGAGGTAGGAGGGGGAAGGCCCTGGATGGCCTTTTAATAGACATTTGAACAGACATTTCACTGGTTGCTATAAGTTTTCATCCCTTCACAGATGCTGATTAAGCAAAAGGAAGCAAATCGCCAAAGTGCAATCCTTCTGCACCAGGCAGACCCCAGCATTCAGCTGTTGAAGGCACTGGAGGAAGTAGCCAATATCACTAAGATGTTGGAGGAAGAACGACTCCAGCATCAGAAGCAGGTAATGATTATGATATGATTTTGCACGCAAATAGTGTCTGGGGGAGAGAAAGTGTGTGTGCGCGGTGGGTGGGGGGGTTGCACATGTGACATAAAAGCTAACAGTCTGAATCAGCCTGAGTGGCTCTCACCGTTTGAGACCCAGCTATTATTCGCATCATATTTTTTCTTCAGGTTTCAGTAGGATTCTCACGAGTTTGCAATTCACCTCAAGGGGCTTTGTGATCCTAATTGTTGAATGAGGGGAATAGGAATTACCTGAAATTGTTTAGTAACGTATTGGTTTGTGTCACAACAAAACAAAATCAATTGGAAGCAGCACCAGGAGAATTCACTGGGGTAAGCCACATAGGGCACCAAAACAGGCAGGCAGACCTTGGTTGAACATCTCACCTGAAGGTTACTTATAGCAATGAAGTACAAGCTCAGTAGTTCACTAGAGTGCCAGACAGATTATGACTTGAAATACAGCTTTGGGGCTTGAACCCACAATTTCTAATCCTGAGGTGAGAGTGACACCAATTGACACCCCTTTCTCTCATCCCTATTCTTGTTGGCTTCTTGGGCTTTGCCATGACTTAGTATTAATAATAATAATAATCCTTGCCTTTGATATAGCGCCTTATCACATCTTAAAGACATCTCAAAGCGCTTCACAGAATATACATAAAGTGAATTCACTGTATATTTTGTGGCAAAATGTGGCAGCCAATTGTGCACAGCTGTGTCCCACAAATAGTTACGGATTGAAGTGACCAATTTTTTTTTTTTTTGGAAGGAATTATTACATCTGGAAAAGGCCAATTGACTAAACAACTGGGTTCTTACTTACTGCTAGTAAACAGAGACATGTGGAGTAAGGAAACTTACCCAACATTTCACCCTGCTGGGAATCGAACCCAGATTTCTTGCTTGCGAGGCGAGTGCTCCAACCACTAGTCTACAGGACTCTACTGAGCTCCCTGAGCTATTAGATATTATCACTGAATCTCATCCTTAAATCCACTGGAAGTCCTTAGTTTCCGAATTTCTCACAGGAGCCTTCTTCATCCATACATTTCTTGTGACCTTATTAAATACAGGAATATATTTTTTATAGTGAATAATTTAGGAAAAGATTGTTCTGAAGATCTCAGCCTGTTGAGAGAGGGTTGAAAGAGCAAACTAACTTCTCACCATTCTGGTGCAGTGTATCTTGTATATTTTAATCCAGAATCAGACCCAGGTTGTTACAGCATCACTAAGTCAGAAAGCAATTAAGTTTTTTGCCACAGTGGAGCATTATAAGCTGGTGATTAACACAGGAGGAGGAGTTGGCAGTATGCTTCTGTGTTTGCAGAACTGAATGATGGCTAAGTGCTTCATTTACAGATTAAGGAGCTGGAGTCTCACCTGGATGAGACGGCCCTGCAGAAGGAATTGGGCACTGTACAGAGACAACTGGAGTTAGTGGAAGAAGAGAGAAGAGAGACTGAGCAGCGTGTACAACACATGGAACAGAGAAACTTTGAGCTGGAGAACAAAGGTTTGAAATTAATGCATTTGTATTAACCTATAATCACGCCCACGATAGACTTCCTATCTGAAAATTACCTTCCAAATGGAATGATCATTTTTGAGTCAAGACGGTTTCCATCCTCTATAAGCTTATGGAATTAGTGCGTGTGTCTTCTGCAGAATAGTTCACTACCATCATTGGTGAGATGCATTAATTTTTTTCCCAAACTGTTATGAACTAATTGATTTCATTACAGCTCTTCTGTCTTGAGAGTAGACATCTCAGAGGGGACTTTGTAGAAGTGAATAACATTTCAAATGGGATTAAAAAGTAGATCCCGAGCATTACTTTAGGAAGCACCAAGACAGTAGAACAAGAGGACACAGGTTTATAGTTGCAAAGAGCAATTTCAGAACAGACATCAGGAAATGTTTATTTTCTCAGAGGATAAGTAACAGCTGGAATGGATTGCCAGGTGTGTGGTTGAGGCCAGAGTACTGGATTCATTAAAAAAAATAGCTTGAAGCTGTGATGGGAAAACAGTAGGATTGGTGGTCAGGAAGGATGAGACCAAATGGGCTAAAGGGCCTTCTTCATCCATACCATTAATAATAACAATCCTTGCATTTGATATAGAGCCTTATCACATTGTTAAGATGTCCCAAAGCGCTTCACAGAATATATTGTATAATGGATTGACTATATTTTGTGGGTGAAAAACTGCAGCCAGTTGTGCACTGCAGTGCTCAACAACAGTCGTGGATTGAGTGACCAATTTTTTTTTCGATCTTGTGAAATAAGTTCTGCAATTTGAAGTTTAGTGTAGATCCTTAAGTTTAATTTCTTTAAACTTCACCCTGTAAAACTTTAATTTAGAAAATATTTTGCTGTGAGTATATTGACAGACGTGTCATATCTTTCACACAGTGCAAGAACTGGAGAAACTGAAACTTCAGATGGCTGAGTTGGCTCCCTCGACAGCTCCCCCTCCCCCTCCTCCGCCAACCCCTCCCCCTCCTCCTCCACCTCCTCCCCCACCACCCCCGCCTCCCCTCCCAGCCACACGTTGCAATCCTATAAGGTGCGTACTGAAGAATATGAATGGGGAGACTGACTAATGGGAGGGTCCTTAGTAATAGAGAAGAGATGGGGCTGATGAGACACTGACTGAACACGGTGACATACCATCCTCAGCCAGACATTACACTTCCTGAGAGAAACAGAATGAGAGGGAGAGGTAAAAGTTTAAGATGTAAGCCTGCCTGCTGCTCTTGCTACTACCTAAGGGCTAAATAAATAATAATGATTGCATTTGATATAGTGCCTTTTCGCGTTATTGAGACGTCTCAAAGATTTTCAAAGGATGTACTATAAAGTGGATTGACTGTCTTATTTTGTGGGCAAAATGCGGCAGCCAGTTTGCACACAGCAATATCCTACAAACAGCCATGGAGTGAGTGATGAATTTTATTTGGTGGATTTGTTGGCCTGGACACCACTCTTTTTGAATAGTGCCATGAGATTTTTAACACTCACCTGAACAGGCAGACGGGACCTTGACGTCTCATCCAAAATATAAGAGAAAGTTGGGTTTGCAAAATTGAAAAAGCCCATCTACCTACAGCCAGGATATTGAGACTCTTATTGGTGTATGGGTGCCCCCTGCTGTCAGGGTGTCAAAGACCTATGGCTTTGAAGCCCTGAGAGGTAGTAGACACAGGTCAGCACCCACCATTCCCGAACAATGGTTCAGAGATTACAATCTTACTATTCACCATTGAACGTTTGGGTGTTTTTTCCCAAAGTGGAGACAAGAGGTTTTCTCAGGAGGGCCGAAAGAAGGGAGAGAAATTCAAACGAGAAAAAAAACAATAATAAATTGGTCACTTCAATCCACGATGGTTTGTGGGACACTGCTGTGCACAATTGGCTGACACGTTTCGCCACAAAATATACAGTCAATTCACTTTACAGTATATTATGTGAAGCACTTTGAGATGTCTAGAAGTGAAAAGCGCTATATCAAATGCAAGGATTATTATTTTGTTATTATAACTTCTGAGGATGAGTCAAAGAAAGCTTTCTAATCAATCACAGTCTACTCACTATTGACAGGTTCTGGTCAGTATGTGACATGGGGTGGGCTTGAGAACAACATAGGTAGATCCATCTTGTGAAGTGCATTTATGGTGTGAAGTACATTTTCTGTACTCCTAGTAATGGTCAGTTACTGTCCTCTGCATTGCTTGCAGTTCCCTTATTGCTATAGTGCGCAGATCATCCAAGAACTCTAAGATGCCACCAAAACATGAACCCAGCAAAGGTAAGTAACCAATCGTACAGCAAGCTGGATCCAGGCTTCATACTCAGTCTATCGGGAGGAGCATGCAATTATTGCCTCACTGAAAATCCTCAGCAGTGAGTACTTTTGAGAACTAAGTGTACTGTCGTGTATATGAGTAAATCTTTGCAAGTATTTAATTTATTGGAGGTGCACATAGGGACTGGTTTACAGTAAATAAACCATTGGCTGACACTCAGGATTTTCCAATAATCCACCAACTTCTTATATATGTAATGCAGTCAGTCAGCCTGCTGAGCCGGAAACATTGGTGCATTCCACACAGCAGAGTATGTGTCCAGTTAGGATCACCCAATCGGTTAGAGCTCTGGCTTATACGATCGGGCACATGTATTCACCTGCAAGGCTCATTGATGGTGCCTCAGATTACTAACTTTACCAACTGGTAAATAACTACATCAGAGTTCATTACCAAGGTGACAACCATTTTGTCTTCCCTACTTAAAAGTGTTAAGAGCAAGAATACAGGAATAGAAGTAGACCATTTAAGCTAATGAGCCTATTTCATCAATTATTAATGAGATACCATATATGGTCTTGATGTCCGCCAATCTGGTGGATGCACGGTTTAGGCATATGAAGTTTTACTCTTTCACAAAGTTTGGAAGGACAGTGAAGAGCCTACTTCATAGTGAGTAGGCAATAGTGAGCAGAGTGAAGTTAAGCCACCCCCGATCACTGTTCTTGACTGAATGAAAGAGAATCTTAATTTACTAATAGGAGGGCTGGCTGGTATCCACGGTGGGGAAGAATACAGTGAAATTAAATTGAGAGTCCTGCATGTTCCAAATGATTGATTGGGGGAGGGGTTGCATGTACATTGGAATAATGAGAGCTGGTGAATCCAAACTTGGGCTGCGGTTATTCTCGCTGAAATTTTTTTCTCTGTCCTTCACTCCAGACCAGCCTGGCATTGATGATGTGAAGGTGAAAGCAGTCAACGAAATGATGGAGCGGATTAAGCATGGGGTCATGCTGCGGCCAGTGACCCAGATTTCAAAGGTAGTGTAGACTGAGAGCTCAATACACTGTCCCACCCAAACCCACCATTTATTGGACCTGCTTATGAAGTGCAAAGATTGTGTTGTCCCCTGGTCCCTTGCCCATTATGATCTAGGTTGATATTGGTTGAATATGTTTCAGTTGGGACACCTAACAGCATAACTGAGGGCCTCTTTGGTTGAGCTGGATTTAAATTTGGGTCCAAGGGATGAAAGAGCAATGGCTACCCCAATACAATGCCAACTTCCCCACGAGAGATTTTGGTGAATCTATGTCTAGGTCCCCACTGCTCCACATGGAGGAGAACAACAATTAAATGTACATCCTCCAAATCCGCTCTATACTGGAACAGTTAAACAAATTTACTGTAGCAAAGTCTGTTAGGAATCTACATCTGGGCATCTCCATTTCTTACTCTAGAAAGCTAACTTTTTTGGTCCATGCCAGAAGTGTGCTCGCAGGTTGGGTAGCTGTGGGTCCACAAACACCCATGTTAAGAGGCACTTAGTAATAAGGTTGCCTTATATTAACAGATTATGTGGAATGGTTTCTTAAATGCAACTGAATTTTACTATCCGAATACAATATATTATGCAGGGACATTTAGTTGTTCCTTGCCCTTTAGGAGTGCTGGTTAAATGCTACCTGAAACAAATGTAACTGTGTAGAACTATCCTGATGTGAAATTTGTTGGGCTCTACTGTTGTCTTACGAGCAATAGTAGCATTTGGTCCCACTTTCCAAAAATAACTATTTCACAAGAGTGACAAGAAAGATTCAGGTAATCCGAGTTATCAGAGTTCTGCTCTGTACCTGACCTCGGGCTGGTCACAGTGAATCATTTGATCTCAAATTTTCCCATTTACAATTTGAGCTGTTTCTTAAATTAGTCCAATCCCTGGTGTCAACCATCCTTCCTGGTATACCATTTCCTGATACCTGTCCTAAACTTGCTATTCAAAATATTACACCTATACATACACTTTAACTGTTTCATGAAAGGTGGTTTGTAAGTGAGAATTCCAGTTAACAGTAATTACTTTTAAAGTGATTCAAGCCATTTCAAGATAATGAGGTTCTGTAAAAACGCATATTCTTTTTTCTGCTACTTTGGGTTTCTGATATAAATTGTTCTGGAATTATGTTCTCTCTTCTATTTACCATCATATGTAGCTCTACGTCCACACTGAGCTGGCTCTTTTCAAGGATGAAGAGCCCCAGCTTTGCCCTAGTTTCTTCCTCTAACTCTGATGACCAGTCTTGTTGCTGTCTTCTGTACTGCCTGTAGAGTGCAACATTTGATTCTATCATATCAGGAAGAGCTTTCTGCACAAGGTGTCTGTTCTGACTACAGGAAGGGGCCAATGAGAGAGATCAGTGCTTGCATATGTATCTCTTTGTAACACTTGTGGGCCAATTTTGTAGAACAGTAATAATTTGGTCATTCAACCCATGACTGTTTGTGGGACATTGCTGTGCGCCATTGGCTACCGTGTTTCACCTACAAAATATACAGTCACTCCACTTTACAGTGTGTCCTGTGCAACGCTTTGAGATATCTCAATGACGTTAAAAGCAAAATATCAAATATTAATATTAATATTAATATCAAAAGCAATTCTTATTATTAACTACTTTCACTTTAAGAAAATTGTAACAAGCAGATTGGTTCAACAATTCATGAGAATCACAAGCAGCATGAAAACCCTATCTCTGGGTTATGATGTGAGAATGTTGAATCACTTTTAAAGTTTCTCTCCTGTTTCCTCCTGCTGGCTCTTTGATGAATTCCATTCGAAAGAGGAAAATTAGCATCAAGGTAGGAATTCCCCTCCCTCCCTTCCCTACCCAGCACCCAGTTTGAAGCTCATGTAAACAGAAGGCAAAGATTAAATGGTTTAGCGGTTTTGTCTTGTCTAGAATATAAATATAGACTGTTAATTATTTGCTTAGGGTTATAGTCAGCACTGCATTGTTGTTGGAGGTGTTAATCCAAGACGTTAATCCGAGTTCCCGTCTGCCTCTTCAGCTGGACGTTAAAGATACCAAGGCACGATTCAATAAGAGAAAGTAGGTTCTCTACAGTGTCCTGGCCTACAAATAAAATTGGTCATTCACTTCATAGTGAAATTGGTGACATTTCCTGAGAGATTCAATCCTTGGGTTCTGTGTCAGTGGATGTGTCGCAGTTGAGCTGAATGCTGGTCGCTTTGCCACTCTATGACATACAAAACACGCAGTCAGTTCACTTTACAGTATATTCTGTGAAGCGCTTTGAGACGTCTCGAAGACGTGATAAGGCGCTATATCAAATTGCAAGGCTTATTATAATATTATTGTATTATAATATAACATTATTATCTTCCCATCAAATCAGTTATGAAATTTTGCCCCATAATGGGTTAACGTTTGAGATGGGACTCCCTGTGGCTTGGTGTGACAGGGGTCACAACCTTTGACTGCACAATTTCAGTGAGGAGAGGGATACACGTGCAATGCCAGTTTGACTCAGCTCCGTACCTGGCATTGGGCTGGTCACAGTGAACCAGTTATGTAAAAAGTTGCTGCTTTGAGGAGCTGTTATTAATACGATGCAACTGAGGGAAGTGACCTTTGATGTTCCCCAAATTTCACATTGTTTCCATGGTTACATAAGTTCCAAACCAATGAAAAAGACAGGCGGGAGACAGTCAGTTGAGCTTGAATTTTAAGGATTGTTGTTGCAGTGCACAATAAGCACATACAGAGGTTTCCAATCACTGAAAATCATAAACATATTCCATGGTTCCATTCAAAAAGAGAAGGGAGTTTCTCCTGGTGTCCTAGCCAACAATCCCCCAAATAAATTTGTCATTCAGCTAACTGCACCTAACAGTGATTACTGTCATGTGTTTTGAGACATTTCAACCTGATAAGGTGCTATCTTTCCTTTTAAAGAGCTTGAGAAACTTTTCCATTTAAAATTTCTTGCAGATCCGGGAACAATTCTAACTATGGATTTAGCTGTGGCTTGTTACACAGAAGACCTTGCAAGACCACAAGAATGTCCCTGCAAAGTCTGAAATCCTGAAAACAGATTCACTTAATTATTCAGCCCAGCCTGGTTTAACCTGTCCCAAAGACTATACAAGTGCTCAGCACATCCAGCAGTGTATCAGACAGAAGCTATTATTAAAACCCGTTGTCCCATGGAAAGGCTGGCGCTCTCACCCTCTGTCAGGCTGTCACTTATACTATCTGTATCAAACTGTCATTCATTACCCACTGTGTCCAACTGTTACTTCTACTCTCAGTGTCAGGCTGTCACTTATACACGTTGTGTGTTTTCCCCCCAACAGCCCCCACCATTGGAGGAGAAGACACAGGAAAGCGCCATGGAAGAACTGAAGGGCATCCTGGTAATGTAGAGATGAAGTTAACCCTTTCATGATCTCCTGACTAATATTTATAGGAATAAATATTAATTAATAAGAATCAACAATTGACAATGTTGCTCCTGGGTTTTATATCAGTGACTGTGTTGCAGTTGAGCTGAATGCTGATCGCTTTGCCACTCTGTGACATTGGTGTCCTGCTGTCTGGCCACAGGATTCCATGAAGAAGAGCCCAAGTCGAGGGTTTCCTGACATAAGTCACAACAAGACAGAGAACGAGCTGGAGGCTGTTCTGAGAAGGAGACGGAAGCAAACCTCGGATTACCATTCAAGAGGTAATGGTATATTTACTACCTCCTGAACAGTGTGTTTGTACATATGTGTGGAAGCGTGTGATATGTTAGATTGTTGGTTCAAGCTTTCGTTTGCACTGTGTCGCCAACTGCCTGTTTGCAAGGATATACTGGTTGATTCTGTTATATTGCAGTTAGTTTGTTTCATAAATTTAGACCTTGCATTATGTATCTATTGAAGTATGTCAATCATAATCTGCCTCAGTACCCTCAATATCAACCCTCTCTTATTCCATATGCAAGCAAAAGGGACCAACATAGGACTCCAGCTACCTAATTTAACATGGTTCATATTCAGTCAGTGATATCACACTGTGAGCCCTCAGAGTCTCTGTGCTTCACTGATCCAATTCTCTAGTGATTGATTGGAACAGACCCTCTATGTAATGGAAGGCCTTGTCCAGCTCCACTTACACATGGAAACTTTGTAGAAACAATGCTCAGCCATTGGTTACTTTGCTTCCTACTTCTAGAAAAATCCATGTCCTGAGGGGAGAAGGAATCCCATGACATTTACATGAGTTGCAAACACTGGTTGCACTAATAGGCGAGTCACATCTCTAGCTTCACACCATGAGATCCTCTGTGAAGCTGTGACTTGCGCACAGCATTTCAAAGTATTTCTGAGCAGTGCTACGTTAAGGATTTTGAAAGGTTAACGATCACCAATGTTAACCTTAGATTCTGTGTCAGTGGATGTGTTTGAGTTGAGCTGAATGCTGAGTGGGACTTTGAGATTTTACTCCTCTAACCTTGTCTCATTTAAATAGCCCAAAAATTGCCTTCCAGGTTTATACATAAAAAAGTGGACCCTCCTAAACTAAGTTTCCCCCCCCACTCAGCATGTTATTAGCATCATGATTATATGGACTTTTGCACTTTGTATATTAGAATAAGGGGACCTAGATTTAATAAAATAATAATAATCCTTGCATTTGATATAGTGCCTCATCAGGTCATTGAGATGTCTCAAAATGCCTCTGTAAAGCGAATTGAATGTATATTTTGGGGGGTGAAAATTATATGTTATTTTAGAGGTGTAATGGGCAATTTCAGGATAGGCACCAGGAAGATTTTATTTCCCGGTAGCGTAATGAGAAGGATAGTTGAGGCCAGGGTGCTGGGACTCATTTAAAAACAGCTTTATGATTTGATAAGAGGATGCCGATGGGTGTTCTGGAAGAATGAGATCGGATGACCAAAGGACTTTCTTTATCAAACCAATCATGTGATGTTGTGAAATATAGTTACTCTGCAGGAGTGGCCTAAAATTTCTATCCTTTCCCCTGTTAAATACTGCGTGAATAAAGGGGGATTGTGCATTCTTCTCTCTTGAACAGATGGATATGAAGCTGAGGCCAGTGAGGTTAACTCTTCCAAATCCCTCAGCCTGAAGGACAGTGATGAGCAAGGAAGTGAAAACCTGGAGCCCAGCCCCGTGGGACTGCAAAAGGCTTTAGCCATGGAAGAGGCCCAGAAAGAACAGGGTAGCAAGTCCCCCAGAAGGTAAAGTCAAGGGACCCACATGGGCTGCAATAGAAATTTCTTTTAACTAAATGGAGCCTTGACACACCAAGAGGAGTCCAATATTAAACCTTCACTGCCAAGAAGTGACATTTTATCCAATTTATCATGTCCTCTGTCCAAACTATTTAATCTCCTGCATAATAGTTCTCTCTATGTTTCACCCCCACCACTACCCAAAATAAATGAGAATGATGTATATCCAGCCAATCATACAGCTTAGAATATAGTTACCAAAGAGCTGTAACTTGGTTGAGATATGGTTTAAGAGGAAATAATTTATTTCAGCTCACAGAATGAAATAAGCAAACAGTCCATTTTATATTTGGTGAGAAGTAAAGAATGGACCGAAAGTATGTTTCTAAATGACTATGGAAAGAAAAAATGCATTTTATAGCACCTTACCTAATTCAAACATCAAAGCATTTTATAAGTATTTACATTGGTTTTGTAGGCAAATGTGGCAGGCATTCGCACCAGCAAGGTCTCACAAACAGCCATGAGGTGAATAACCAATTCATCTTGAGGATTATTTACCCTTTTCTCTGGTACTGTCATGGGAATGCTAGCCTAGATCATGGACTCAAATCCTGATCTGTGGCATATTTCATCCACGTAACAAAATTTTCTGTGCCTTGGCTTAATTCAAGCTAAAGTTGCTGAAGTAGAAGGATAGTGCATTACTTAAGTTCCCCTTCAAACTACCTATATGTAGTCTAGGTTAAGGTCTAGGGCAAAGGGGAAAGGATTTAGCTTCTAACTATCCTCTGAAGCCTATTCCCCTTCTCCATCAATGCAAACTCAGAGCAGTTCAGTTTTGAACCTCTCCTTTTCCAGGAATTGATGTCACTTTCTCTTTCTATGAAACCCCTTGTGCATATGAAGATTATTTGGTCCTTGCTTTGCACCAACCTACTTACTGTTATTACTATTGCTTCTTTACAGCTCCAAGGAAATGAAGAGGAAGTCTTCAGCAAAGGAGGAGAATGGTCAACCCCAAGGCATTCTTATCACCATAAGCACCCCGTCAGATTTGCCTGACCAAAGAACAGCACCTGCTCAGAACCATAACAAATCTGAGAGTCAAAGCACAATTCATGAATGCACCGATGCAGACTGTTAACGGTAGTAGAGAGATGGTGATGTCAAGGTGTTGGATGAAAATGTCAGCGATCTCGCTTTTCCCTCCCATTTAACAAATGGGGTTTAACTCAAAATGTTGGAAAGTGTGTCCAATGGTTAGGACTGAACCAAAAGGCTCAGTCCTCCAATCCAACTCAAAGATGTTGGAAGCTTTATCAGGTGGAAACTGACCTCTCACAGCCTCAGGGTTTGACCTTCCTGTTGCTGATGCACTTGACATCACTGTCTCATTTGAGAAAGATTTTTAAAAAAATGCATTTGGAAAAAAAAATCTATATAAGGGTCTCAGTAGAGGTCTGTTAATGTCTTGTGGTCCTCACACAAAAAAGTTTTATTTCTGTTCAATAATAATTTTGTTTAATTTCTTCACATTTCCTGCCCAGATGTGGTCAGCAAACAACTTCCTTAGCACCTACCTGCACAAGTCCTGAATAGAGCAGCAGCAACTCAGGCTTAGTTGGTAAATTCACTGGCCATTGGAAAATTAAGTCAAACAAAGTAGAAAAGTTCCAGATTCAGTCTATACCTAGTTAGCTGAGAATTGGAGTTCCAGTTGGAAAATTCTAATTATTTACTACCGAGACCGCAATAGACGGCTGGCTTGCTTCCGACATTCCATTGCTAGGGATTAATGGGCAGGATAATAATAATAATAATAATAATCCTTGCATTTGATATAGCGCTTTTCACGTCGGGAGGACGTCCCAAAGCGCTTCACAGAATAGACTGTAAAGTGAATTGACTGTATATTTGTGGGTGAACGCGGCAGCCAATTGCGCACAGCAATGTCCCACAAACAGTCGTAGATTGAAAATGACCAATTTATTATTGCTTTGTTTTTTGGAGGGATTATTATTAGGCGTGTGGAGTAAGGAAACTTGCCCAAGGATAGAAGGGATAAGAGAGAATGAGACTCGATTTTTACTCCTGGATTGCTATCCACTGATCCCCTGATGAAACGTGTGCTTGGACATCAAGTGAGGTTAGGATGAGATTTTCCAATCATCGGCATAGATCCTCATAAAGTTACTGCACTTGGTGGCAAGCAAAGTGTTTCAGCCTGTGTGCTAACTTCCTAGCTGCCACTAATTTATGCAGCACATGTGGGAAAGCCTTCTTTCTTCTTTCCCAACAGTCTTGCTTTGTCATTTAAGAGAACATTCCTGTCTTTCCATTCTCTCTCTCGAACACCCCATTGGTTTTCATTCAGACTGAATCTGGAGCTGTTATTATCCGAAGATGTTTGTATTGCACTCGAATGATTTTGGAGGGCAAATTAGTTGAGCTTGATGTGTTGTGAGGGAGATTACCTGGTTCTCTCTCTGCACACCGTCTTTGTAATACAATGATGGGGGAGGAGGAGACAACACTGTTGATGGCAAACACGATAGTTCAGGGTGTTCACAAAGTCTTGTTTAAGCCCATTTTGATTTCTAACTGACCAACAACTGAAACGTGGAAGAATGGTGATAATTGTATTTAGAAGTACCTAATAGTATTCAGTACAAGTGTTTAACGGTATTTAGACATCCAGAGGATCAGAGTGAGGCACCATCATTTTCATGGCAGATAAATGATCCGTCACCATGTTCGGTGCGACACCTTCCGTAACCTGGATGGAGTGATGAGGAAGTTACTGGTATCAGACATTGTTACACTTGTTGACTCATCTGCAACAGAAAATAAAAATTCATTTTAAGAAAAAAAACACGGGGTTGTGGGGGTAACTGGACCAGGCCTCGCAATACTGTCTAAAATGCACAAAGCACACGTTCATTTACTCACAATGCTGTCTGGTGAGATACTTATGAACATGCATTCAGTTCTAAGTACATTTTCTTATTTAAAGTACAATACACACCTACTCTTCACAATTACAATCTCTGGCCAAGGCTTTGAGCAGACCTCCGCTAGCGCCACTCTGAAATCATTTCTGTGAAAGGGAGGCGGATGAGTTACCTTCCCTCTGCGGAGAATCATAGGCCTCTGATTGTGATTCCCCAAAGTCGCATTACGACAATGAGGATCAGCGTGGGGCACAACCTTGGACATTAACCTATGTCCCACTCAGCAGCATGGTACTTTGAGTTTCAGTGCACTGCTTCATTGCACCATTAATCAGTAAACCTCGGGCTCTCTTACAGTACTGCTGTTATTCTTTGGAGGCAAAGCATGCTGTTGATTTAATAAAATGTTTTTTGCTGTTTTTTTTGAACAAGTGTTCATGAATAAAAGAGAAAAAAACAAACTGTTGTTACTTAGCCTGCTTCTAGCTGCACGCTTACCCCAACTCTACCCTCACATTTCAAGGAACCAAATGTAAGCAGTTATGGGCACCTCAATGTAGAAAGGAAATCAGAGTCATTGAAAGCACAGAATAGAACTACAAGACAATACTAAGGATGAGATATATAGCTTTTAATAAACAAGTTTAAAAAAATTGGATGTTTTTCAGTAGACAGAAAGATAAGAGGGGATGTAATGGAGGGCTTTCAAAATTATGAAAAAGTGAGTGAAAGGAAATTTTTGTTGACCAGCTGGCGAATAGACAACAAGGTGCGATATATAAACTCAAGGTTACTGGAAGCACAAAGGGGAATTTAGAATATTATTTACATGAGGATTATTAGGATGTAGAAGCCACTAATGAAGCCGTCAATTACTGTATGACATTTGAAAGGGAAATGAAAAACTCTTGATAAATGAAAGCGTAAAGCGTTTGGGGGAAGAGTTGCAAGTTATAGGCTGTATTTACAATGTGTTTCAGTCTTCAGCTTTGCATGCTGTGAAATATAGAGTGGCAAATGTTGATGATGACATGTGTTTGTGCACTATGACAAGCAACACAGACTGAATTTCACTCCAATTGGCAGATCTCTTTATGATTCGTAACTATGCCCTTTGCTGATTGACACTTGCAAGAAACCTGTGACATGAATGACATTTTCTTTTAAGTCATGCAGCAGAATTCCTGCATTGCAAGTTTGAATTATAAAAGTGACTTCTACATCTTCTGAAGATGGAACACAACTGAAATACGTCATCCACTGCAAACGTGACACTTAACTAAATTGCAACCCCGTCGACAAAACATACCACTCCATTGCTAACTTTCCCACAATTCATAGAGCCCTTTTGTGGTTACATCATGTTTCCTGGGGCTCAGGGTCTCTCTCTCGCACTATATTTTTCTTGTCTTCAAGGGCTCTCTTTTCTCTCTGTCTCTTTCTGGGCCTCAGGGCTGCAAATTTTGGGCAACGCGTGATATCCTCCGAGTTTCACATTATGAAAATAATATTTCGGGATATAATATATAGTCCGGGATATGACATGTCAGCTGACTGCCAGGATAGTGAAAGGCAAACTGGATGGACCTTGGTCTTCTTTCACCTAGCAAATTTTTATGTTCTTATGATGTTCTTGGGGAGGACAAGTTTGCAGGGTGATGGGGAGAGAGCGGGGGAGTGAGATTGATTTGGATAGTCTTTTCAAAGAGCCGGCACAGACCCGATGGGCCGAATGGCCTCCTTCTGTGCTGTATTATTAATTCTATGATGTCACTGACCCATAGCAGTGTCATGACAGAAAACCCACCTCAGTGGTCGACAGAGATTTCTGTTGAAGTGCTGGAGCTCAGCTGTTCTTGATTTCAGGTGCAGGACCATTCCGACAGCACTGCTCAAAGCACCTCAAAGCGCTATATCAAATGCAAGGATTATTATTATTATTACTTCACAGGATTTACTGCAAAGTGTAATGACTGTATTTTTGTAGGCGAACGCGGTAGTCAGTGTTGCTCACAGCACTGCCTCACAAACAGCAATAAAGTGAATGACCAATTTTATCTGGACAAATAACAATAATCCTTGCATTTGGTGTAATGGCTTTCAGGTCAGGAGGACATCTCAAAAAAGCTTCATAGGATTTAAAGTTAAGTGGAGTGACTATGTATTTGTGGGCGGACACGGGTATCAAAACAGGTACATTTTCCCATCAAAACAATAATAAATTGGTCATTTTCAATCCATGACTGTTTGTGGGACATTGCTGTGCGCAATTGGCTGCCGCGTTCGCCCACAAATATACAGTCCATTCACTTTTCAGTATGTTCTGTGAAGCGCTTTGGGACGTCCTCCCGACGTGAAAAGCGCTATTTCAAATGCAAGGATTATTATTATTATTATCATAATTAAACAGAATGTATTGATTGATTAATTTATTAAGGAGTTGAACAGCATTTATTTTCTGCAAAAATTGGTGCATGACCACCACCGAATTCAAGATCCTCACCCTCACCTACAAGGCCATTCACGGCCTCGCTCCCTCCTACCTCTCCGACCTACTATCCCCCTACCTACCTGCCCGTACCCTCCGTTCCTCTGGCTCCGGTCTGCTCCACGTCCCCCGCCCCAACCGCCCTACCATCGGTGGTCGGGCCTTCAGCCTCTCAGCCCCCAGGCTCTGGAACTCCATCCCCCAGTGCCTTCGCCGCCTCCTCCCTTTCCTCCTTCAAGGCCGGTCTCAAAACCTTTCTCTTTGACCGTGGCTTCAGCTCCCCTCTCGACTCTCTTCCCCTCCTCGCTCCCTCCCTTCCCTCCCCTCACCCTGACCATTTCCCCCCTCCTCGCTCCCTCCCTTCCCTCCCCTCACCCTGACCATTTCCCCCCAATGCTCGGGTCCCGACCCAACTGTCCAGCGCCTTGGGACGTCCTCCCGACGTGAAAGGCGCTCAATAAATGGAATCTTGTTGTTGTTGTTGTGAGAGTCTGTGTTGGTTTCACATTCAGGAGAGCTCAGAGGGCTGTACTGATTGACATGTGGGGCGGACCAATCAGATCGTCATGTGCAATAAAACCCCGCCCTAAACAGATTCCCGCAGCGATTGGTTAAGACACGGGCGGCCTTTCCCATTGCTCTCACTTCTTGTCAATCACAAACAAACGCCATTACACATGGATGACTGGAGGCTTCGTGAAAGGTTGCGTGTCGGGGGATTAGCTCAAATGGTAGAGCGCTCGCTTAGCATGCGAGAGGTAGCGGGATCGATGCCCGCATCCTCCAGCGATTGTTTTCTGAAAGTGCTTTTGTCATATTAGGATTGCAATTCCTATTACAGTAAATTTATCATTTTATTTTGCTTCACCCACAAAATACGCAGTCAATCCACTTTACAGTATATCCTGTGAAATGCTTTATTGTAATAATTAAAACCCCAAATTTAACACATCTGTCTGCTTAGTTGATAAAACATTTACGATAATAGAACTGAGCCGCAGTTGGTTTTATTGTCAGTTTATCAGTTGGTCCGAGATTCAGTTCCATTTTATGGTAAGGAAACAATAAAGACAAAAACCTAATTCAAGGATGTGAATGGCCTCGCCCTGGAATGTCTGCGTGTTTGGACAGTGGGACAGACATGAAAAGATGAGGAAACAGAAGGGAAAGGTGACAACTGAAACAAACGCCCTTCTTAAAAATAACTTGAAGATTGGAAATCAGATCAGTATCCAGTTAGGGAGAGCTCAAATCTGCATTGGATGTAGAATAATCAACCAGTGTCTATCCTTAATAATCCTTAATAATCCACCAGTGTCTATCCTTAGGATCTCCTTGGGACTGAACTAACTACATGGTGACTGACGTGGCTGACAACAAATTCTTTTTCTGATTATTCTTTACCCAATTGTTTTGGCACCAAAAAATCAGTTCTTATTTTGTGTATAAAATATGACCGTGATTGATTTGTTCATTCAAGACTTCAAGAATCCACTGTGCATCAATTAGCCACTGCATTATCTACAAATAAACAGTCACTGCATATTTTATTAATTCCTGTGAAGTGTTCCTGATGTGAAAGGCGCTATAGCAATTTTTTTAGTATTATTTAAGTGCTTTGAGATGGTACCCTGCATTACATAAATGGCAAGCTATTGCTTTGACAATGTGTTAAGAGGCTATATCGAAAGCAAGGATTTTTCTATAACAGAAACTATTTCCTCTGGTGGGGAATCCAGAACAAGTGGGCATAATCTTAAAATTAAAGCTGGGCCATTTAGGAGTGAAATTAAGAGGCAGTTTTTCACCCAGAGGGTAGTGTAAATCTGGAACTCTCTTCCCCAAAAGGCTGTGGATGCTGGATCCATTCACATGTTGAAGACTGAAGTCCTTAGATATTTGCTCAGGGTATTAAGGGATTCAGGACAAGGGTGGGTAATTGGACCTGAGGTACAGATCAGCCATCATCTTATAGAATGGTGGAACAGGCTTGAGGGGCTGAATAGCCTACTCCCGTTTTTATAACAGTCAATACATTTACCAACAGTTCACTGTGAAATTCTTTGAGGTGTTTGATCTCAGGTTGAAAGCGTTTCAGGGCAGCGAAAAATGTACACGCTGGCATCTGTGGCTGCCGGCAGGGAGGCCGCAAATTAAAATACATTTGTAGCCTAAAGTCCACTAAATACCAGCGCAAAAGTAGCCCAATATTGAGTTGCCTACTATGGTTAGCAGATTGGCCAATTTAGAGAAGTGCTTTTCAAACTGTGTAAAAAAGGCCCTAAAAAAAAGTTTTGCAGATTTAAATTTCAAAAAAATAAAATTAGGCTCACGCCCAAAGCCATGTTTTAATGCCCAGTGAAACAAAACCCACCCAACCTGGCAAGGTGAGCTGTGGGATTGCCTTGCCAGCATCAAACATGGCAACGTTTCAAATCGACACAGCGGCAATCTGCGCATGCGGTAGGGGGCGGGTACCTCAAGGGACTCTGGTAATTGGCTGCTGTAGGCGGGAGCGCTTTGTTTGAAAAAACAGTCAGTTAGAGAGGAGCGCGAGGCTCAGAGCGGAGCTCATTGATACAGCGCGGCCGCCGCTTCCAGGTAACGCGAGCTGGGCCTGGGCCTGGGCGAGAGGCCGTCTGCTGAAGTGATTGCTGCCGCGTCTGGGCTTCACCCGACCCAGGAGGCTCTCTTCGGTATTCTGTCTCTTGGGTCTCCGCTTTCCCCGCGGCTCCCGTGTGGCGCTCGGGCTCAGTGCTTCATCTCGAGCGGCTGGTGGTCGCGGCCTCGCGGAGCTGGGCCTGGGCGGCCTGCGGTGCCGGTTTAACGTGGGGAACAGTATCCGCGACTATATATCTCGGGAAAAGCGGGGAGTTAGGGTATTAAATGATCTGTCAGGAAGAGTGGGTGCGGGGATGTGATGATCTGGTATGAAGAGTGCGGTGGAATAATGATTTGCCATAAAAGAGAGGTGTAATGTAATCCACTTTTATTGTTCTATTCCTTTGTCCTGATCCCGACTGTTCAGCGCCTTGAGACGTCTTCCCGACATGAAAGGCTCTTTAACAAATGTAACTTTGTTGTTTTCACTTTTCCAATATCATTCCTTTTATTGCCCCAAAACAAATATCCAAACTCTTGCAGGAGACCAACCTCACAGCGGGCGATCCGGAAACTGCCAGAGGAGAGGGCACAACTGCAAACAGTGGTGGAAGTAAACTTTGAAACTAACATCCGCTTAACAAGTGCTGATTAATCCCATACCAGAACTGCCCGGGAACAGTTCTTTTATTCACTCTGAAATCAATGTTTGGTGCTTGAGAGAGATGTGTGTTAGAAATCTTTTATTGTCTTGCCACTCAGTATAATCCTTGTGCAGTATTTGATTTAGCAACTACAGTATAATGTTAAAACCTTAGAAATGCTTTACTGGTAATTGCTTTGTAAGTGTAATGATTGCATTTTGTAGGTAAACTTGGTAGGCAGTTTGAGCACTGCAAGGTCCCATAAACATACAACAACAATAACAACTTTCATTTACATAGCACCCTTCACGCCGGACGGCATCTCAGAGTGCATAAAAGTGGCGGAGCCTGATACCTAGCCAGGGGAAGGGGACCGTAGGCACTGTCAAAGAGGAAGGTATAGACCAGTTAGTTTGACATCAGTAGTAGCAAGAATTCTTGAGTCCTTAATTAAGGATGTCGTTATGGGATTCCTGGAAGACCATAACAAGATTAGGCAGAGTCAACATTTACAAAAGGGAAGTCATGCTTAACAAGCAACTAAGAAGGTGAACAGCATGTTAGCGTTCATTGCAAAAGTAGAGTACAAGAGTAGGGAAGTCTTGCTGCAACTGTATAGGGCTTTGGTGAGACCGCACCGAGAGTATTGTGTCTCCTTATTTAAAAAAGGACATACTTGCCCTAGAGGGGGTGCAGCGTAGATTCATTCGGTTAGTTCCTGGGATGAGGGGACTGACCTATGAGGATAGGCTGAATAAACTAGGGCTGTATTCTCTAGGGTACAGAAGAATTAGGGGAGATCTTATTGAAACATATAAGATTCTTAAAGGGCTGATAAAGTAGACACTGAGGGTCTGTTTCCCCGGTAGGAGAATCTATAACCAGGGATCACAGTCTGAAAATTAAGGGTCAGCCTTTTAGAACAGAGTTGAGGAAACATTTCTTCACTCAGAGGATAGTGAATTTATGGAATTCACTACCCCAGAAGGCTGTAGATGCTCAGTCCTTGAACATTTTCAAGGCTGAGACTGATAAGTTTTTTAAAAATAGAGGGATTCAGGAATATGGGTATAGGGCAGGTAATTAGAGTTAGATCAGAAGATCAGCCATGATCTTATAGAATGGCGGGGCAGGCTCGAGGGGCTGAATGACCTACACCTGCTCCTAATTCTTATGCTCTTATGTCTTCACGCGTGACTTGAAAATGGGATAGAGGGGGCAAGGATTGAGGGAGAGAATTCCCAAACTTTGGGGTTGTAGTGACTGCAAGCACAGCCGCCAATGGTGGGGCGGAGGATTCGGGGCACAAGAAGGAGGCCGGAACCAGTCGAGCGGAAGCAGCGGGTAGTATTTAGGGATACAGCAGGTTGGAAAGATGGGAGATGCCAGGGTGTGAAGGGATTTAAATATAAGAGTGAGGGTCTTGAAATCTATCTGCTATGTCACAGGGAGGCAATGGAGTTTGGCAGGAACTGCTTTACAATATAATGCAAAATTACATTTGTATTGCGCCTTTCACGTCAGGAGGACGTCCCAAGGTGCTGGACAGTCAGGAATTTGGATCCGAGCCGGGAGTGTGGGGAGGATTTGGGATCAGGGAGGTTAGGAGGGTTGCAGAAGGCACAGTCGAAGAGGAGAGTGTTGGATATCGGAAGGGAGCAGATAATGACAAGCAGAGAAGGGGGCGGGGAAAGAAAGACAAAGGAAAAATTTAGGTAGGGGACTGAAGATGATGTTGATGGTGTAAGGCGAAAGAAGACAATAATGGGAGATTGCAGAAAGAAAAGATGTGTCTAAAACTCAGAATGAGCGAATAGTTATATAAGAGGGGGAGAAGGGAGGCAAGGCTGAGAGAAGATGGGAGCTGTGTTTAAGGTTTAAAGTGGTTAAAATCAATGTTGAGGCTTTAAAGTGGCTAGGAAGTAGATGAAGTGTTGTTCTTCGAGTTTGCATTGTGCTTTGTTCGAACAGGACAGGAGGCCATGGACAGAGGGAGTGGAAGGAGAGTTAAAGTGGCAAGCGACTGGAAGCTCATGGTTGCACTTGAGAAAGGAGTGGAGGTGTTCGTCAAAGTGATCACCAATGTGTGTTTGGTCTCCCCGATGTAGAGGACCAAATCGTGAGCAGTGAATACAATATACTACGTTGGTGGACTTGCATGTAAATCGTTGTCTTTCCACAAAGCAGTATTTTGGGCCCTGGACAGTGGTATGGGAGGAGGTGAACGGGCAGATGTTGCTGCATCTGCGCTGGCATGGCAAGGTGCCGGGGGAAGGAGAGCAGATATTAGTGGTGATGGAGGAATGGATCAGGAAGTCATGTAGGGAGTGGTCACTTTGGAATGCTGAGAGGGAGGGGATTGAAAAATGTGTTTGGTGGTGGGATCACACTGGAGGTGGCGGAAATGGCGAAGGATTATACGTTGAATGTGGAGGCTGGTGGGGTGGAAAGTAAGAACTATCACAGTTCTCTGAGGACTATCACAGTAATCTCTGTCTCTTCCCTCCCCACCCCCCTGCTCCCACACTATCACAGTACCGGGTAGTATTTAAGGATAGTTCATTAATCCTTTTCTGCAGTGTTAATCCCTCATTAATCCTTTTCTGCAGTGTTAATCCCTCATGCTTAAGCCAAAAGTTGTGAATGTGCTTAAGACAAAAGTTACATTAATTGTAGTTGTGAGTTTAGCTGAAAACCTTGCCCTTACAAAGAATGTTGAGTGTCATGACATAGAGAATCTATTGTTTTTACCCTCAAATTAAAAATGTTTTGGAAAGTGTTTATTAAAAGCACCCAGGAAATGCTCTGCATAGTTGTTCAGAAGTGGGTGAGCACGACTACGTACCTGAGCCGAATAGAGAAGAATTTTCAGAATGTGCTTTATGATGACTGCTTTATGAAAACTATGATGACTGATCAAGTTTCATGTGATCATAGAATTATACAGCACTGAAGGAGGCCATTCGGCCCATCATGTCTGTGCTGGCTCTTTTAAAAGAGCTATCCAAATCAAACCCACTCCCCTGCGCTCTCCCCATAGCCCTGCAAACGTGTTCTCCCCAAATAATTATCCAATACCTGAAAAATATGAAAGAAGAAACACGAATTACCATATTTAGTCATGAAACTTTATAAAACACTGGTTAGGCCTCAGCTAGAGGACTGTTCAGTTCTGGGCACCACACTTTAGGAAGGATGTCAAGGCATTGGAGAGGGTGCAAAGGAGATTTACCAGGATGGTACCAGGAATGAGGGACTTTGGTTATCAGGAAAGGCTAGAGAAGCTGGGATTATTCTCCTTGGAGCAGAGAAGGTTAAGAGGAGATTTAATAGAAGTTTTCAAAATTGTGAGGGGACTCGATAAGGTGAACAAGGAGAAACTATTTCCACTGGCGGGTGGGTTGGTAACCCAAGGGCACCGATTTAAAATAGTTGTTAAAAGAAACAGGAGGTGAGGAGAATTTTTTTTATGCAGAGTTGTTTAGATCTGGAATGCATTGCCTGAAAAGGTGGTGGAAGCTGATTCTACACCAGTTTTTAAGAGAGAAGTAGATAATTATTTGGAGAGGATAGGCTTACAAGGTTATGGGGAAGTGGGATTGATTTGGAAAAGCTCTTTTCAAAGAGCCAGCACAGACTCGATGGGCCGAATGGCCTCCTTCTGTGCTGTATAATTCTATGATTATGTGTGCTGTGTATTCTCTGCAATATTGATAAACTTACAATTAGTTTATCCAATAGGTACCTTCTCATGCATAAAAATTGAATTTTATCTGAAAAGTATTTCAAGCATTAAGAATGAAAGTGAAGCCAGTGTTGATAGTTGAGTTGGCGGGGAATTTGAAAGCTCTCCAGGAGTGTTTGGTAATTAGAGGTTAAACTCAGGAATTGGTTAGTTACCTTACTGCTGTTGGGAGCACTGTTAGCACCTATATTTTGCTATAATTTTTCTCTGTGACAGTTGCTAAGTGTCAAGTAATTCTTTGAGCGACATGTATTACCAGAACTGCTTTTTTCACCTCGCTACATTGCCTACCTCCATCCGTATCTCACAACCAACGCAGCCGAAAACCTCAGCCACGTCTTCCCGGTTGGACTACTCCAATGCCCTACTCACTGGTGTCCCCAGCTCCACCATTCACAAAATTCAACTAATTCAAGACTCTGCCACCCGATACTTCACTTGCACAAAACTCCGTACCCACATCACACCAGTCCTTGCCAGGCTCACTGGCTCCCAATTACCAAATGGATCGATTTCAAGCTCCTCACACTTGTTTTCAAATCCCTTCATGCCCTGGCACCTCCCTACCTATCCGACGTGCTTAACCTCTACCCCACCAGCCTCTGCCTCTGCTTTGCTCTCTCTGGCCTCCTTCTTGTCCCTCCACTCCACCGTTGGTGGCTGTGCCTTCAGCCACTACGCCCCGAAACTCTGGAACCCTCTCCCTCAAACCCTCTGCATTGACCCATCCCTCCCCACTTTCAAATCCTGTGTAAAGGCCTTCCTTTTTGATTGTGCTTCTTGGTCACCTCCCCCCCCCCCCCTCTCTCCCCCTGGCTCGGCGTCAGACTCCACCACTGTCAAGCGCTCTGGGACGCTACCTGCACAAAGGGCGCTATATAAATGCAAGTTGTTATTATGTATTAGATGTTTTTTATGTGATGGTTGCTGTTTCATTTGCAAAGATTATTTGATTTTGGTTTATCCTCATAAATTTCTTGCCGCTAGATTTCATAGCAGAAATAAAATTCTATCTTGCTATATAAGGACTCATTTGTCATAGCATTTATATTATTAAGTGTTTCAAAAGTACTTTCCATGTGTAAAATATTACACGTTTCAGTTTTGAGGCATTGGTATGTGCAGAGTTGTTAGTAGCCACCTAAAGACCTAGTTTTCTTGATTTTTTGGAAGGTCACCACTTTCTCTGCCTCTTAGAGGGCTGAGCTTGAAGCCTGCCCACACAGGCTAGCCAAGAACTTTCTGTGTTTGTCTTATACATCAATCTCAGATATTGTGGAATGTCCAGCAGTCAGAAAACTGTTATAAACTTGACTTTCAAGAAGCTGCAAAGTTATGGGTTTGAAGTAGTTCTGTTATAAACATGAGCGAAACCAATAATAATAAATAAACAATGTGCTTGTTCATGGTTTTCCTGCATCACCCAGGGGGGAGTTAAACTCTCCAAGCTCTGATTTCCACACAATTACAGCAAGCAGCACCAAGTTACTTTTGGTGATCAATGTCTGCTAATGGTCTCTCTGAGGCAATAAATTGCTGTTCCTAGTTATATGGGGAATATTAACTTTGAAACTTTTATTAAAACGTAACTGATGCCAGGTTCATTGTGCTGGGGGAGTACTTTCTTTATCTGGCCGCTTGGAGCCTGGGTTTGCTTTTTGAATTGTCCAATCATTGAACGAATCCAACTGGCATCTGGTTTTACTCCACTTATAGCGTGACTGCTGGCTGGCTGTACACTATTTAGTGCTGGGTAACTCCAAATGTTCCTGATGCATTATATTTGCTTACAAAAAGTTCTGTTCATTAGTGCCAGATGGATTAGTTTCCTTTTTAAAATGAATTACAAGCAGTTATATAAAAGCTAAAATCTTATGAAGCGCCTTGAAATGTTGTGAAAGAGGTGCTATAATAAATGCAAAGAGGATAATTTCTATTAATATAACTTTTATTCATTGTAAAAAAAAAAATCAGAAACTGCCTTCTCTTTTGAATAATGATGTGGAATCTTTTACATCCACCTGGTCAGGCAGACAGTTCCTCATTCAAAGGACAGTACCACTGACAATGCAGCACTCCCCCAGTATTGGACTGAAATGTCATCTTGAATGATCAGATAAAGCCCCATCATGGGACTTGAAATTGCAACCTTTAATATAAATATCAGCGCTGCTTTTACTGGTTGGAATTGCAGTAGTATTGCAGTGGTCAAAGGAGGCCCCTGGTAGGAGATTGATGTCCGAGCTGAGTTGTACTTTAGTCCTCCCTCATAACACATGGAGTGAGTTGTTGTTTGACTGCATTGTAACTGTTTGTGTTTCCTTCAGGTGCAGTGGCTGAGAGAAAATGACTGCAACATTTGTGTCCCCAAATATTTTCTCTGATGATGATGAGCTCCTTGTTTTGGAATCGACCGCAGCTGAAATGTTGAATGGTGCTGTAGTGACCAAGCAGTTGCTCCCTGAATTCTCCGTCATCTCACCAGGGAGTGATGCACATCAGGCTCCAGATCATGGGTGTACCCTCATGGAGACATCTCCAGATGACAGAGTAAAGGTTTATCTTCGAGTTAGACCTTTCACAGAGTCTGAGCTTGAGAAAGGGGAATCACAGGTTAGTAGCGGTGGGATACAATTTTAAAAACCTCATTAGTTAAGGGAGTAATACATTTGGGGATTAGAATTGCTTGTGTTCTTAAAATTTAAGATGGTGCAGAAAATGTTTTTTTTATATACTGTAGAAATTGACTTCCAAACAAAGAGTGAATTTAAAACTGTTTTCCAAAATTCTCTGTGATTAAATTTTTAGACCGTGGATTTGAGCCTATGAATGCATCACAAGTCACTCCTTACCCTCCTTAGCTCTAGGGAACTTAACCAATCTTTACCTAACTTCTCATCTTAGCTAAATGATTGCAGACATAACACTGTTGAATTATCACTGAACTTGCTGTAAGGTCAGTATTATTTGTATCCATAATTGAACACAATATGCTAGATTAAATCTAACCAGTGAATTGTGAATAATTGTCATTTAATTTCCTCCGGACTACTGAGATCTTCATCACGTCCAAGCTAGCTTAACCAAATTAACCAATGCTCTGCTCACTGGACTCCCCAGATCATCCTTGCACAAGCTTAGACCACTCAGAACTCTTCAAACCCAAAGTCCTCCATCCTTGTGGCTCTGTTGGTTCCCAATTCCTCCCCCCACCTCCCCCGAGCAAATTGAATTCAAGATCCTCACCTTGTTTTCAAATTCTGCATAGCTGGACTCACTGCCAACTCTTTGTGGAGTCCTGTAGCTCAGTGGTTAGAGCACTCGCTTTGCAAGTGAGAGACCTGAGTTCAATTCCAGGCAGAGGGCGAAACCTTGGGCAAGTTTCCTTACTCCACACAGAGCCTAATAATAATCCCTCCAAAACCAAAAACAATAATAAATTGGTCATTTTCAATCTACGACTGTTTGTGGGACATTGCTGTGCGCAATTGGCTGCTGTGTTCGCCCACAAATATGCAGTCAATTCACTTTACAGTGTGTTCTGTGAAGCGCTTTGGGACGTCCTCCCGACGTGAAAAGCGCTATATCAAATGCAAGGTTTATTATTATTATTCTTTTTCTTTCTCTTCCCCCCACTTCCAGTTCAGGGTCCCAATCATCTTTGTGAAGGGAATTCAGGTGTCTTCCCAACATGGAAGGTGCTGTATAAATATGAATGTTGATTGTAATTTCTCCTCAGGGCTGTGTTACGATCGAAACCTCTGAAACTCTGATGCTGCGAGCACCAAAGGATTCATTTGCAATGAAGAGTACTGAACGGGGTATTGGCCAGGCTATGCACAAGTTCTCCTTCACTCAGGTCTGAGATGAAAAATTAATGACTCCATTGAAAAGAGATGACAAGCTGCAAATAAATAAATGAACTTGTGTTTAACGTAGAATATTATATTGACAAACCTGACAGTCAATCTGTACAACTAATTTCACAAGGCAGCTCCTTTTAACTTTTATTACGTCACACAGTAATGGAATGGGTACTCACACCTCCCTACCTCCAATCTGTTTACACTGCCCCCCACTATCCGCCTTCTCCTCAGCTGGCTCCGGCCATCAACATAACATAGTCACAAATAGATCAAATAGGGAAATTAGAAGAAATGTTTTCATGCAGAGAGTAACGGAAATGTGGAACATGCTGCCACAGGGAGTTGTTGAGGCAAACAGCATAGATGTATTTAAGGGAAAGCTGGATAGGTACATGAGGGAGAAAGGAATAGAAGGTTATGGTTGAAGACTTAGTTGAGGAAGGGCAGGAGGAGGCTCATATGAAGCATAAACACCGGCATAGACCGATTGGGCCGAACGGCCTGTTTCTATGCTGTATATTCTAATGTATGTCCTTCATCCTCTCTGCTATACCATCAGTGCTTTCAGTCACTGCACCGAAACTCTGGAATTCTCTACCTCAGTCCCTCTGCCTTGCCTCTCGTTGACTGTCTTTTGAGCACACCTGGGAGAACTTCCTTTTTGACTGTAATCTCCGCTCTCCCTGTGGCTTGGCATCAAGCTTCTCACTGTTAAGCGCTCTAAGACGCACCCCATATGAAGAACTCTATAAATGCAAGTTGTAGTGTTTTATGAGTCTCTGCCAGGCCTTCAAATAATTGCCTTTAAGAATTGTTTTGAGCTCAACTAATTGTGGGAGACAAATTTTTAATAGCCTTGGGAGATGTGTTCTTCATAAGCCATGGCATTTTAATGAATTGGTTCCTTTGCTTGTATACAAATAATTTACAACATACACTAGAAAGCATTTGCGTATGCTGAGGGTAAGCAACAGCTGGAACTGGTTACGAGAAGTCGTGTGGTTGAGGCTGAACACTGGGTTCATTCAAAATACAGCTTCAGGCTGGTATAGAGGAAGGATGAGATTAAATGAGCGAAAATACCTTTGTCTGAACATCTTTTATGAATGCTCTCTTTAATCCTGTTTTCCTGTCTTCTACCCAAGTTACTTCCCACATATACAAATGGATAGACACTCCACTTTACAGAAAAAGAGCTTTCAGATGTTTTGATGTGATAATGTGCTATGTTAAGCGCAAGGATTGTCTATTATTTAAGTATTGGGGAGCCCTGTTAAAGTGTCCTTCAATGTAATGTTGCCCTGCTTACTCATTTGTGGTGCACGACAAGTGACGTTGACTGCAGACATGTGCAACATGCAGAAGGTGGCTGTTGGGAGTAGTCTGACAATCCTAAAGTTGGTCATTATTCAGTGCATCCCTTATAATGGCGACTGCTGAGACATAGGACCCAGCCAACTGCACTATACCAAGGTTTCCCTTTTAAACAGCCCAGATGATTCTACCTCTACAGCTACTAGGGCAGTGCATTCCATGTTTTCACAAAATGTTGTTGTTTGTTATCTAGCCTTGGCTGTTCTTAACACAACAGGCAGCTTGTTTTGATACTTCATCACTGTGTAACCTCTAGATTGTTTTTGTTTGTTTACTACAGATATTTAGCCCCGAAGTGTCACAAAAGGTGTTCTTTGATGTGGTCATGAAAGGGCTGGTGAAGGAGGTGCTGGGCGGCCACAACCGCTTGGTTTATACCTATGGTGTGTCAAACTCAGGAAAGACCTACACCATTCAAGGTGAAATATAACTTGTCTGCCTCATGCCATTGAGATTCCACTATTTTGACTTGGGGCTGAGGGTGTGGGTTCTTTGAACATAACAACAACTTGCATTTATATAACGCCCTTATGATTTATTGGTTGCTATTTTGTTTGTAGGAAGTAATCGTGATAATGGGATCCTTCCTCGATCACTGGCGGTCATTTTCAACAGTCTCCAGGGCAAGTTGTATCCCAGGATGGATCTGAAGCCGACCTTGTGCAGTGATGTTCTCCAACTGGATAGCAAGCTGGTCAGACAGGAGGAGCTGAAGAAACTCTCTTTAATGGGTGTAATGCGAGAGGTCAGTCACCTAGATAAGTCCAAGTTGTTACTACTGCTGCTGTTGTTGTTGCTGCTGCTGTTGTTGCTGCTGCCACTGCTGTTGTTGCTTCTGCTGTGGTAACTGAATGAAACTGGGCATGTGCTGATCAGGCTCCTGGAGCCAGCTGGTTGTTTTGAGTGCTGCACACTGACATACGCTTGGATTCTGTTCCATGGTGGCAATATGCTTTGCTTGAAACTTAAAGAAGCTCAAGTTTACAAAGGCAGCGGTTATAGTGAAGTCTCAGTCTATCCTTGTGTACATTGCAAGGACTAGTTTATAGTAACATTAGGAGAGTCCTGGAGCAGCTCAACTAATGTGTGGCCCAAATAAAGGGATGTAGATCAATCGGAATGCTCCTCATTCCGATCACTATTGATGTGATTAGGTTTCACTGTTTAAACAGCACTGGGTCAGAACTCAGTGTGGTTGCAATCACTTTATATCCCCTAGTGTAAAAGGATTTCAGAGCCCATTTTTGTGTGATAGTGATATGTGTTTTCTGCTTTTGACTTGTAGGAGGATCTGGAAACTCCAGTGAAGAAGAATCTCAGCACAGAGTGGAGACAACGGGGCGCGGGTATCAGCTGTGATTCTGATAGTGGTATCGCGGGTATGTCCTGCACCAGTCAGTTGGAAGGTAGGACAGTGTGCGAAATGTAATCCATGAGCAATGTTCCATTCTGGTGCAATTCTGATTGCCTTTGTAAATGTTTGGGGTCTAATTGGGGCCAAGTTGACTCCAGTGTTTACAAAAGGCAGCAATTTACCTAAAACTCTGGAGCTTGCAAATGCAGCATTTAATGAACCATGAAGTAAAAAGGCTACTTCCTCTCCCTGGGCATTCATCAGTGTTGGCATGAACTTGTCTCTTACGTAGACTCAACACAAAAAATAATAGCAAACATCACCTGGCAGAATTGTTGACTTCTCTATTCACATTTATTCAGCATGCAGCATTCAGAAATTTGGTGATGAAACAGCACAGTAGAATGAGATCCAGTGACAGTCCTGTCGCGGATGCTTAAATTTCTTTTTTTAATTTTCCAGCTTCAGAATTTACATCACGCTGGGCTGATCAGCATACAGTTGTCCTTGTTCAGGGACAACATGTGCAATATTCCATCTGGGTTTCTTTCTTTGAGATTTACAATGAGATGACGTATGACTTGCTGGAGATGGTTCCTGTGAACTCTAACCGGAAGCGACAAACCTTGAAACTGTGCGAGGATAAAAATGGAAACACCTATATAAAAGGTACTGGCCTGCGCCGGCTTGTAAATGTGATCCTTCTTGGAAAAGTGGTCTTTGCATACTGTGGCCCTCTGTGTTCTTACTGGGACCATTGAAACTGGCAAGCCTACAAACATTTCGTTTTAATTTTCAGCACTAGTAATGGAGAGAGGTTGTCTGACGAAGAACATACCTTTATTTTCAAATGATTGCCACACTTTAATAACCATAAACTGGATCAATGGCCAATTCTGATGCATGTACTCTTATAATAATCCTTGCATTTGATATAGCGCGTTTCTTATGAGAAACTTATGAAAATTGACTGAGGAATTTAGATCTAAGAAATCTTTCTCTATTGCAATTTAATACTAAGCTCATTCCAGCTGCTCTCTGCTGAATTGAAGCCGCTGTAAAGGTTTACTTGAATAAATCAGTTATTTGTTTTGATCAGATTTGACTTGGATCAATGTCAACAATGCAGAGGAAGCCTGGAAAATTCTGAAAATTGGCAGGAAGAACCAAAGTATGGCCAGCACACACTTGAATCAGAATTCCAGCAGGAGGTAATCCAGCTTCATAACAATTCTTTGAATCCATTAGAGGGTTCATTTCACGGAGCATTACGTAGCCATTTGACCCAGATAGTTTGTGGCAGTGGAAGGCTATCAATTAGGATCTTCAGAGAAATAGTTACTGATGTTGCTCAAGTTGATTGGGCAGCCAACTGTTTAAAAGCAGTAAACAACTAATGGATTTTGGTATTTCAGATGTTGAAATGTTCTTGAAAGAAGGTTAAAAATTCTATTTCTCGCTTCACATTACTGTAGTGCTCCAAACTCCTGGCATTGCAGGAGTGACGAGCAGTACAGTGATGTGCAACAAGAAATACAACTCAGCATATAATAAACCTTGCATTTGATATAGCGCCTTATCATGTCTTTGAGATGTCTCAGAGCGCTTCACAGAATGTAGTGTAGAATATACTGTATATTTTGTGGGTGAAACGTGGCAGCCAATTGCACACAACAGTCATTGATTGAGTGACCAAATTTTTTTTATTTTGAAGGAATTATTACTCCCGGAAAAGCGATCTGCCAATTGACTAACAGGGTTCCTACTTACTGCTAGGTAAACAGGTGTGTGGAAGCTCGGAATCGAACCCAGATTCTCTCGCTTGTGAGGCGAGTGCTCCAACTAACTGACTACTAAGCTACAGGACAAAAAAAATAGAAATATTGCGTAGTTTATTAAGTGGATCAATATAGGGCCTTATAATAATATATTAATAATAATATTAATATATTATAATATAGGGCCTTGAAGTTTGTAAGACACAGAATTGCTGTCATTTATACTTGGTGAAATAAAATCTTTTTTTCTTGCTGGTCTTTTCCAATTAACATCTTTTCATAATGTTTTAAAGTGTTGGTAATTTCATGATTTGTCTTTTTCAGTCACAGCATCTTCTCCATCCGAGTGCTGCATGTATCTGAGGACTGGAAGTCTGTTCTCCAGACCAGTGAGTAAGTGTTTCTCCTGAGGGAGTTCTGATGCCTTTATGTAATTTATTCTCTCTGAAGCACTACTTTTTGTGCTTGAGCTTACAAAAGACAGCTACTTTATTTTCTGCAGAAGTTACATTCTCCATCTCTTGACTCAGTGTTAAACGGCTCCACCATGTGGTAACTGCATAGAAGGAAAAGAACATACAGACGGACTTTTCTCTGACTATGGTCATTGCTTCTTCAAACTTTACATTTACAAGCTTCAAATGAGGGATCTTCATGCTCTTCCTTCCTGTATGCTAATCAAATCAGTATCCATTCCATCTTCTAGCCCACAATGGCCTAAACTTTTGGCTGCTGTGGGCTGAATTCCCTGTTGGAGGCTCTCCCCATCCCTGCTCTCTCCCCCTCCCCGCTCTCTCCCCCTCCCCCTGCTCTCTCCCCCTCCCCCCGCTCTCTCCCCCTCCCCCCGCTCTCTCCCCCCCGCGCCCTCTCTCCCCCCCCGCGCGCCCTCTCCCCCTCCCGCCGCCCTCTCCCCCCCCCGCCCGCCCTCTCCCCCCCCCGCCCTCTCCCCCCCCCGCCCGCCCTCTCCCCCCCCGCCCGCCCTCTCCCCCCCCCGCCCGCCTCTCCCCCCCCGCCCGCCCTCTCCCCCTCCCCGCCCGCCCTCTCCCCCTCCCCGCCCGCCCTCTCCCCCTCCCCGCCCGCCCTCTCCCCCTCCCCGCCCGCCCTCTCCCCTCCCCGCCCGCCCTCTCCCCCTCCCGCCCGCCTCTCCCCCTCCCCGCCCGCCCTCTCCCCCTCCCCGCCCGCCCTCTCCCCCTCCCCGCCCGCCCTCTCCCCCTCCCCGCCCGCCCTCTCCCCCTCCCCGCCCGCCCCCTCCCGCCCGCCCTCTCCCCCTCCCCGCCCGCCCTCTCCCCCTCCCCGCCCGCCCTCTCCCCCCCCCCCCCCCTCCCCGCCCGCCCTCTCCCCTCCCCGCCCGCCCTCTCCCCCTCCCCGCCCGCCCTCTCCCCCTCCCCGCCCGCCCTCTCCCCCTCCCCGCCCGCCCTCTCCCCCTCCCCGCCCGCCCTCCCCCTCCCCCCCTCTCCCCCTCCCCGCCCGCCCTCTCCCCTTTTTCTCTCTGCTCTCTTCTGCCCACCCCAGCTCTCTCCCTGCCGCGTGCTTTCCTCTCTTCTCCGCCCTTCGTCTTTTCCTCCCCCCATCCCCATTTCCTTCCCTCCCTCCGCTTCCTCTCCTCTTCCCCCGCTTCCTCTCTTCCCCCCTCCCACTTCTCTCTCCCCACCCCCTCCTCTCTGCTCTCTTCCGCCCACCCCAGCTCTCTCCCCCCACACGCTCCCTACTCCGTGCCCACTTCACTCCCCTTCCCCCCGCGCGCTCCCTACTCCGTGTTCTCTCCCCCACTGCCCACGCTCTCTCTCTCCCCCGCCCCCACCAGCGCTCTCCCCCACTGCGCGCTTTCTCCCCCTGCACTCTCCACTCCTGCGCTCGCTTCCCCACTGTGCTCTCTCCTCACCCTGGGCTCTTTCCCCCTCTCTCTCCCCCACCCCCTCTCTCTTCATCCCCCCCTCTTTCTTCATCCCCCCTCTCTCTTCATTTCCCCTCATTTTACCCCCGCCCTCGCTCCCACCCGTTGTCTTCCCCCCCCCCTCACTGAGCTCTCCCCTCCACGCCCCCACAAGCTCTCTCCCATCCAGCTCTTTCTGCTCCCTGCTCCCCAGCCCGCTCCCCCCAACTCCTTTCTGAACTCCATTTTATGAAGAAGTTTATAGTTTGGTAAATGCTTAAACCGTGTTGCTAGTATTATGGAATGACCTTGGAGGAGTTACTCAGTTGAACACCCTTGTGTTGGTATCCAAAGAGGAGTCTGCAGCTTGTCGAATGGCTTGTTTAGTACAACTACCATCCATTGTGAAACTGAATCATGGAAGGTCTGGATACATTCCCCTTTATATTTTGCTACAAATTTCACAGTTCCTATGCTTTGTATTCAATTTTGTAAAATGCTTTGTGATGTCCTTTTGATATAAAAGGCAAGCGCTGATGGTGAGAATTTCTGTTCTCATTAATTTTATCCAAGGTGCGTGTTCTGTTGTCAAACTCCTTTTTCTTATTGCAGACTATCTCTCTGTGACCTGGCGGGGTCTGAGCGCTGCAAGGAACAGAAGCGTGGAGACAGGATGAAAGAAGCGACTAACATTAACACTTCTCTGCACTCGCTGGGAAGATGCATCAGTGCTCTGCGACAGAACCAACAGATCAGGTAGGCAACCTGGGAGCTAGATCAGTTGCTATGCTTCCTCCTCCCACTTCTTTTATACTTGTCATCACTTTAATGTCATCAATAAAGTACAATATTGTATACAACAATAATTTGAGGGATTTGTAAATATCTAATCCTGCTTTATCTGCGTGAGTTTCATGCCAATCTGTCGAAAATTCTGCTCAAACAGCTATCTCATTCCCAATCTGTGAAATCCCAATCCCAATCTCAGCTAAAGAAGGCTCCTTTAGAGGATATTAACTCCAAAGGAGTTCTTGTTTGCATAATGAGTGAGCTGTTCAGGTAGTAGCTTGGGCTGAAATTTAGCTATGATGAAAGCCTGGATAGACTGTGGTTGTTTGTATTCCTTGGAGCAGAGAGTGATTTGATTAGGTATTTAAAATAATGGATGGAATTGAAAGGTTAGATGGTAGAAACTTTCTTCTGGCAGTAGGATCTATTATGGCCTTAAAATAGAACTAAGACAGTTAAAACTGATGACAGCAAGTATTTCTTCCCGCAGAGGGTTGTGAAATACTCTGTCCTAGAAAGTTGTAGCGACAAACTATAGCGATGGTTGAAAGAGAAATAGACTGATATTTGGATATTAGAAGTATTAAAGGCAAAAGAACATGGCATTGGGATTTTAAAAAATTGCCAGGTCCAATAAATAGAATAAGGTCCAATAGATCTGATGAACTGAAGGGCCTCTTCCTTCATGTTCCTGTTTTCCTCTTCCTGTGTCCTGTATGTGAGTGTAACAACTTTGTAAAGAAAACTGCTGAGCAAGAAGCACATTTTTATTTCGCCTAAATTTCTCTGATTGTGGTTTAAATGCTGTTCTGGCCTGATCGGGTGAATCTGGGGCCCAGGCCGCTGTGGGAATTGCTTAACCTTCCCTCCCTAGGAACTTTACGTTGCTTTGATAGGCCTGATTGATCTTTCCACCCTGTGCTTCCAGGTCCAAGCCTAATGTGGTTCCATTCCGGGACAGCAAACTGACTCGAGTGTTCCAGGGCTTTTTCACCAGCCGTGGGAAGTCCTGCATGATCGTCAACATCAACCAGTGTGCGTCCACATATGATGAAACATTGCAGGTTATGAAATTCTCTGCTATCGCCAGCCAGGTAAGGGATCTGTTATGCACTCAATGCTGGAATCAACCAAAGTCAATAATTTGAGCATCATCTTTTAGCATGAATATGAGTATCTTTATATGTTTTATTAAGATAGAAACTGTTTTTTAACTACGACCCATCTATATGATTGCCTGATAACAATAACAAATTGCATTTATATAGTGGCTTTCACGTTGGCAGGACACTGTACAGGTTCAGGGAAATGAGGGAAAACCACAAATTCTCCAATTTCCAAGAACTTATCTAGTCCCTTTTTGGATTACTGATTCCATCCCAAGTAATTTGTTCCATGTGCTCATCAACTCCTTTACTAGTAATGTTTATTCTGCCCCAACAAGTGAGTTATCAAGTTTTCCTGAGTCCTGTAGCAAGCCAGGTATTTTATTCATCTCCATTCAGTCCCTCAAGTGTTTTGTTTTAATATTCCCTCTTCTCTGAGTTTTTTCAGATGTGGATGCCATCTTTTTCAAAGAAGGAATTGAGTATCTATTTAGTGAAGAAATCAATTTTGAATTGTACGAGAGGCAATGTAGTTTTTCTTTAAATTGACTTTGATTCAAGTCAATTTAAAGATGGCCAGATGGACTAGAGTCTTTTCTGCTCTTATAACTTTCCTACTATGGTTCCAATTGTATTGAAAGGCAAAATGTTAAATTCACCTTTATGAGATTTGCTGATTTGTTAAAGTAAGCGGTGTATGTGTACCATCAGCATCCTCTGGGTGGATGGGGTTCAAAGATGATTGATTGGATTTTTTTTTGTAATCACTCACCTTTTGTTCCAGTTGATCCAGGCACCTCCTATGAAGCTGGGGCTGCCCTCTATCCGCTCGCTGATCCGAGAGCACAATGGATGGAACAGCTGCAATGCCCAGGAAACGCTAGAGGAAAATGAAGAGGACGAGGATAATCAGGAGGAAGATGGTGATGAAGAAGAGACCGATATCAGTACGCTGGATAAGGAGGTGGGCGCTTGCTGCATGTTGACCTGTGCTACAGGAAAGTGCTGCAGATTAACTTGTTGGTGGGGAAAACATGATCAAGGGCCAAGCAATGTGTGCCACCAGGTGCCAGTGTTAGCTACTTAAAGAACTACATAGGGTTTTAGTTTGAAAGCATTGCAAAAGGAATATAACTAATAAATGATGTAGGTATCTGGACATGTTTGAGGGTGTCCATAGGAACCAATCTTGGTTCCAATTTAAAGGAAGTCAGATTGCAGCCAAACAAGGTTCCTGGCAGGAGTTTGAAAGCCGAGTAGGGTTTTAATGGGATAGTCTGTGCCTCTGGCACGCTAGAAACAAGGTTAGTGCCAGTGGCAACCCTCAATCTAAAAGTTGTGATAATTTAAAATTGTTAAAATTTCAGCATTATTTTGTCCCTGGTTGATGGGAATTTCTGAATTGGGTTCTTATCTATTTTTCTTTATGATCTGAGCCAATTTCTTTTAACATCTGATTGACTGATGTTATATTCACTCCAGTCGTTACAGAAAGTTATCGAGGTCCTGCAGGAGTACGTGGTTAAGGAGAAACGGGAGAAATTGTTGATGGAGTACGAGATCCGGGAAAACGTGGTCAATGAGATGAGCGAGCAGTACAGCAGCATGGAGAAGCACTGGAGGTAGAACACTGACTGGCAGCTCAGCACAAACTTTTATTTTTCATGTAAATCCTGTCAAAACGTACCCAAAGACTAAATAAGGCACAAAATTATACTGAGATAATGACTGAGGCTTCATAGTTCTATAAGGTCCCATAATGTGCAGTGTTACTTGGTCCTTTTCGCCCACAAAAAAAATGCAGTCCAAACCACTTTACAGTATGTCCTGTGAAGTCCTTTGAGACATCTCAACGACATAAGGTGCTATATAAGATGCAAGAATTATTATCTTTGGCGTAAATGAAAGAAGAGCCAAGCCCCCTATTTCTAAACAGTTTAGTTTAGACTTGTGGAGGCTGCAACCCGTAAAGTGATTGTTTTTATAGCTATTGACGGTTCAAATGTAAGTTTGTAAATCTGCCTTCTATCGTGTGTCACAATTTTTAAAAATATACATGCAAGTGAAGCTATGAGGATGACTGGATTGAACATTTTGGGGAGATTTATACACTGGTTGGCATATTTGTGATAGTTCAGTTAGGCTTTGAATCCAGTCTCTCTTGGCAATTCACCCTTTCAGAGTTTAAAAGAGAAATCCTCTTAGTTCTGGGTGGGTGTCACTTACTGTGAGAAGGGGTTTAGTTAGCAGGTTGTGAATAGTTTGTACTTGTTCTTCCAGAGAGCAACTTGTAGAACAAAAAGAACAACTGGAAGATTTCTATGAAGCAAAGATGAAAAACTTCCAGGAGTATGTTAAGCTCTATTATCAGTCATCCGCTGCTGATGAGGATGAGAATTACTCTGATTCTGATCATGACTCAGATGGTGAAACGAGTACCGATAAACTCGAGGTAAGAAACTAACTCACAAGTGACGCAGCTGGATTTCAGGAATCATGCCTTTTGAATATCTTCCTAGACATTACTATGTGCTGTTTCACTTGTTTTTTTTAAAAAAAACAAAGGTCTGGGTCCACTCGTGGTTCAGATTCTAGCAAAACCTTGTCTTTAAACTGCATTTTTTTTAAAAGGAGTCAAATAAAATGGCTGAACTGGAGGCTACTATTCAACATCTGAAGTCTGAGCGAAAGTCTACTAGGGAGCCAGCAAGGCAGTCTGCCCGCCTGGCCTCCGTGGGCCTCCACAGGGAGCTGCAGAAGCTGCAACTGGAGCTGGCAAATGTGACGGCCGAGCTGGAACAATACAAAGTGCAAGCGGCTCACAGTGCAGAGGGTCAGTGCTTTACTGGAGAAGCTTAGGCTAACCGGGGTGGTCCAACCTTTGGCTGCTGAGGTGCCCTATTTGAGAAACTTCTGTGGGCCACGTAAATAATATTTTTGTGTTTCCGTTCCAGGGAGGGAGTGGGTGGGCCAGATGAAATGGAGGGGGGAGCGGATCAAATCTGCCTGTGGGCTGGATGCAGCCGCCGGTTAGACCATCCTAGCCTTAAAGACTAATCGTATTCTTCTGCGAAACCATGACTTGTCATTGGTGAACATGAACTATCTCTATCTTGTTCCAGAACTGGCCCGATACAAGGCGATAGTCGAGCCACCACCTGCAACCAGACGCCTAACTATGGACGCGGACCGCAAACTTGAAGAGGGACATAAGGTGAGATGTTTTTTTTAAACCTTCCTCTGCTCTTCTGTAGAATGTGAGAGGTACTCCCTTAACCTTTGCTGACCAGCTAAGCTGCTTACATTTCCTGATGACTTTGTGTTAGTGGTTCAGTGAGATCTGCTTCTCAAAGAACAGCTATGCAGTGAAGCAGTTGTGGGGTAGATAGCATTATAGTTGAGGCTCTTGATGTGTTTCTCAATATCGCTGCACAATTAATTAGGACAAATACCTTGGGAGCGAAGTGCTGCCGAGTTGAGGTTGCTAGTGTTTTGCCTCTGGGACAACAATGACCCATGATCCAGCTTCACTAGTACAGCTTGGTCTGATTCCTACTGACGGTGTGAGGCAGCATTTATTGTTAGTATGGCGTTGTATTCAAAAAAAAAAGATTTTATGAAGAAGGCCCTTCATAAAATTATAGTATTACAGTCTTCCTAATAATCCATTCCAGCTGCTCATTCCTTTTTGTGTGAAGTAATACAGTGGAACCTCAATTCAAATTTGGGGTTAATAAAATCCAATGTGAATGATGTTACTCATTGCTTGACTGGTCATGTAACTGTATGTGCACATAGAAAGCCATCATTATCAATATGGGGTTAGAAGTCATCTTCAAAATTCGTCTCGTGCTTTCAGCACACTGTTGCTCTCTTCAAGTCGGGCCTGGGGAGCCCCCTTGTGTGCAATGACCAGAATTAGATGGACCAGGCAGAGTACCTGAGGACAATTTCTAGGCAATTTGAACGGATGTATTTGAGAATCTAGCCCAACAACCTTGTTCATTGCTGTTTTTACACAGTCTGGACATGATTCAACTAACATACAACACTTTTCCAACTTCGACTTTTCTGTCTTGAAGCTGTTTGTTTGTACTGTTATCTTGAAAGAATAACTGAGCAACCTGTAATCCCCAAGTAATGTTTTGCTGGGATCTGTATTGTGTTTGAAAGGTAGATCACAATTGTACAAGATGCAAATTGGAGCAACCTTTGCAAAATTGATTGGGAATTTGTACTCCAATTGCCCTGCCTCTAACTAACGATCCTGTCTTGACGCGAAAGTTGATGCATAAATACAATTTGTTGTTTTTAAAAAATCCTTCTCGATTTTGCAGAATGCGAAAGCTCTACAGAGGGAGCTTCAGAAATTGGGCCAAGCACTGCAGACATCAGAGAGAGCGTGCTGCCACCGCACCGGAGCTGCGAAACTGCAAGGGACTCTAACCAAATGTGAAGAGATTGTGGTTAAGCAGGTACTCTCTAGTCGAGACTGCTTTCCTGAGGTCACGCAATTCCAGGCCTGCTCAAAACCTGGTTCATGATCCCCCTGGCCTGTTCAAGTGCAGGAAACGACTGCAGTGCAACCATCACATCTCCAAAGCATTAGTTACTGAAATGGTGCCAGTAATTGTTTTGTGGAGTCCTGTAACTCAGTGGTTAGAGCACTCGCTTTGCAAGCGAGAGACCTGGGTTCAATTCCAGGCAGAGGGCGAACCCTTGGGCAAGTTTCCTTACTCCACACAGAGCCTAATAATAATCCCTCCAAAACCACAAACAATAATAAATTGGTCATTTTCAATCCTGTTTGTGGGACACTGCTGTGCCCAATTGGCTGCCGCGTTCGCCCACAAATATACAGTCAATTCACTTTACAGTAAATTCTATGAAGCGCTTTGCGATGTCTAGAAGACGTGAAATGCGCTGTATCAAATGCAAGGATTATTATTATCTGTAAGAATCCTGGCAGTAGAATAGACATTATTTTTACATATATATATATATATATATATACACACACACATATACACAGGCAGTACAGCTTTTCCAGTTTAAGATTTTCACTAGAGCTGATATTCAGCTTGTATGATGGTAATACCTGAACGATGGATAAAGTGTTAAGCAAACTTCTTGTATCTGACAGGATCACACCTTGGCTGAGCTTCAGAAGTTGATGATTGTGATTAAACTGGACCTGAAGAAGAAGACTGCATGTATTGCGGAACAATACCACACTGTTCGCCAGCTCCAGGATGCCTCTGGCTGCAACAAGCGCCGCTGTGTGGCAAACGTGGAAAACCAGCCACCCCCACACAAAAGGCCTTTCCTGACTGGCATCCTATCCAAAACCCCTCTGAGAAGTGCCCGTCAGATGGGCGATAACAGCCCCTACAGCTACATCCTAAGATCCCGAGCGGGCCTGAACACCCCATTGCGAATGGCAGCCTCAAACTATGGAGGGAAGTATTAGCAGCTTCAGTCCCCCCTTTTAAATAGAAAGTGTTTTATTTTGGTAATTTCATCTATTCACACATGTATTAAGGTGACTAAGAATCTGGGATATGGTGCAATGTAGGCATTTGTTCCACATTGTTTGGAATGAATTGTAACTGCAAATAGGTGCGGATGTGAGCGAGTGGAACAGTTTGTTGAGGTTTGTACTTGAGTATCTGATCATCAAGTTCTGATTGTTTCCTTGTCTGTCTGCTGCTAAGAGAATCCATTCTTGTTCAGACAGGTGTTTTGATTATTAAAAATGTATTTCAGTAAAATAAGGCATTATTGCTGCTGTATTTGAGTTAGCCTTCGATTATCAACAAAAATCATTTAACCTTTTTTAGTAATGGAAACTATCTTGTTAAAATATATATATGTATGTGTGTAAAACCTGGATAACTCCCATTCTTGTTGGTTTGGGTCACCTAAAATATCAGCTCAGCTGAATATTTTTGTTATAGTAAAAAAAATCTTGGTTTTGAGCTGGAAAAAAATACTCATTTTGGTGACGTGATAATCCAGAGTAGCCATTGTTTGTTACATTGAGTGGTTTGTTTTGAGCAAAGTGTTAGATCCTGGATATTTTTATGATCGCATTGTATTTTTAGTCTATTAGGTAAAGCATGACTTCTATTTAAACATCAGTTATCATTTATGTTTGTCTATCACTAACCTTGGGTGTGTATGTATACATATACATACTGACCGTCTACATTTAGAGATTAGAGTACTATACTTTCTGAACATCTGAATATATTTCTAAATATACCGCATTGCCAAGAATAAAATAAATGCAGTGGGAATTTTCAACTTTGGTTGGTGAGAGAACCAGCATGTGTATTCTTTTCAATAAACCTAATCAATTTAATATTTGCACTCAAAACCTAGGTTATGTTCCATATTTTATATGAATCTTTACATGAAATATAAAATCCAAGTGTTGTTTCTTTGCAGAAATACAAGACTAAAGGTTCCAATATTCTAACACTAACTAATGCTGTCAAAGTGACTTGTTCTGTCAAAGAGCTGGCACAGACTCGATGGGCCGAATGGCCTCCTTCTGTGCTGTAACATTCTATGAATCTAATCACTGTCTTACAAAAAAAAAGTTCTGATAAGTGTCAATGCAGTTTTCTGAGGATTAATCATGCTTCTGATCACAATACATGTGAGTGTAGATTCATCTATCACCTTCCTGGAAAGTTGCATTTAAAATGGGTGCAGTGCCAAAGTGAAATCTAAACATTCTTCATATCCAGTCCCAGGTGTTATCTGTGACATAAGTCAGCCACAATTAGGTTAATTGGAGTCCTGTAGCTCAGTGGTTAGAGCACTCGCTTTGCAAGTGAGAGACCTGAGTTCAATTCCCGGCAGGGCGAAACCTTGGGCAAGTTTCCTTACTCCACACGCCTAATAATAATCCCTCCAAAAAACCAAAAACAATAATTAAATTGGTCATTTTCAATCTACGACTGTTTGTGGGACATTGCTGTGCGCAATTGGCTGCCGCGTTCGCCCACAAATATACAGTCAATTCACTTTACAGTGTGTTCTGTGAAGCGCTTTGGGACGTCCTCCTGACGTGAAAAGCGCTATATCAAATGCAAGGATTATTATTATTATTATTATTAATTCCCCAGAAGACTGCTTGGTAAAGTTCATTGCTGAGATAAACAGGGGAGGGAGAATAAAGGCAAACGCATGTTGAGTTATGAAAATATTTAGAAGCTGGAATCACCAACCCTTCAGTTTAAGATTTCCAGAAGATTAAGAGAAAGCAACAATCCTTCACTGCTGTTAGCATTAATCATACAGTTGGCAACACAGATGAACCAAGAGAATAAGGATCCATTGGGGAACAGGCAGAGTAGGATTTTGGCAGGAGATTGTTTTCAGAAACAATTTTCATGGTGTGATGGAAGACAGGTTGAGAGGGGGGACTTTTACAGATGGGGTGTTGGTTGTAGAATGCGATGCTGAAGGGGTAAACGATGTCCGTGATCCATCTCCAGAGATGGCAGCCGGTGATGCCTCATTCTGACTACGAAGCTGGGATATCTGTCGCAGAAGTGCCTTCCCTTCCTCTCGTGTCTGGAACAAGAATGGAGAACATATTTCCATATGTAAACTCCCAAGTTACAATACAAACCAACAATATTCTCTATAAACACAGCAAACCAAATGATTCCCAGTCAGGAAAGATGTTTTAAAGACTTACGTCATTGTAATCACAACACTTCTGTGCACAGACTGAGGCCTCATCCCACCGCTTACATTTGAAATAGTACTGCGCTAAGGCTCGGAATGCAGTGCTCATTTCATGATGCTCCAGAATTTCCTAAAGATTTAAACAGAAAAGTTATTCAGTCCAGTTTTTGTGACCATTTGCTGGAGAAAGCTAAAAATCTTTCATTTATGTTTAAGCAACTAATTACACTTTCCAGGGAACCATTAAAGTGGAACGCAATGTTTTGGCTTGGCTCTCTGGAACACTTTCGCCTCTCAGTCAGAAGGTTGTTGGTTTAAGTCCCACATTGGGACTTGGAATCACATAGTCTCAACTGACAACCCATTGAAGCGCTGGGGGTAAGCTGCATTGTCAGTGGTGTCGTCCTTCACATGAGTCATTAATAAATTGGTCAAACACTGCTATGTGCAAATGGGCTGCTGCCTACAAAATATATAGTGAAGCACTTTGAGACTCTCTTTTGATATGATAAGGCGCAATACCAAATACAAGGGTTACTATTATAATTTTAAAACACGGTTAAGCATGGTATTTAGCACGCACCATGGCACTAGTCCCATGGCAGTGTTAACTACAGGGAATGGCACATGCTTATCCTGACAAAACTACTCCATGATAAATCTAAAACTGGAATTGGGAAATCACAAATGTTTTATAGTTCAATTAGTTATACAAATGTAACTTGGTTGTTGTTAGAATTCTGTGATCATCTCAAAAGTATGATCAAATCATAGAAGGAACGGACGGATAGGTGAAAATATTTATTGGCAATAGTCAAATAGGAAGGATGAACAGCTTGAATAAGTAATAATCCTTGAATTAATATTACTCCTTGCCAAGTCTGAGACGTTTCAAAGTGCTTCACAGAATATATTGTAAAGTGAATTGACTATATAGTTTGTGGGTGAAACATAGAAGAGTAGAAAAGGAAAAGGATATTCCTTGTGCCAGGAAGAACAATTAAATAGAAACAAGTCCACCGATGAGTAAAATGGAAAAATAAACATGTAAAATGGGTCCTTTTAAAGCAACAGTTTAAAACAGTTTTTAAATCTCCCTCCTGAAGATGCTCAGATATGATCTGGTTGGACTGCTATCCTGCAAGTCCCTATCTAAATGGCCACATCTACCCACAAAGACCTCAAACGCATGATGGTAAAGACCCTCCAACTACGCTTGTCTTAGTAGAGAACTTCTGCAACTGTACCAAATGTACAACTTTAGAAACAGATAATCTTGCCGTTTCCCAGCCAACTCCCCTGTGATGCAAGAAAGTCCTGGGATTATATTACCATAGAATTATATAGCACAGAAGGAGGCCATTGGGCCCATCATGTCTGTGCCGGCTTTTTGAATATTGCTATCCAATTCACTTCCCCTCTCTCTCCCCACAGCCCTGCAAACTTGTCCTCCCCAAATAATGATCTACTTCTCTCTTTAAAAGTTGTTATCAAATTGGCTTCCACCACGCTTTCAGGCAATGCATTCCCAGTCCGAACAACAACAAAATTACATTTGTATAGCACCTTTCACGTCAGGAGGATGTCCCAAGGTGCTGGACAATCAGCGTTTCGGACCTGAGCTGGGGGTTGGGATCGGGGAGGTTGGGAGGCAGGAGGGGGACCGAAGGCACGATCGAAGAAGAGGGTCTTGACACAGGTCTTGAAGAAGGCAAGGGAGGTGGTGAGGCTGAGGGACTGCTGGATGGAGTTCTAGAGGGTGGGGCACAGTGGCTGAAGGCCTGCCCGCCAATGGTGGGGCATGCGAGGTGGGGACCGTGAAGCAGGCCAGAGCCTCCTGAGTGGAGGGAATGGGCGGTTGGTAAGGGGGTTAGGAGGTCACAGAAGTAGGGGGGGAGCAAGGCCACGGAGGGCCTTGAAAGTGAGGACCAGGATCTTGAACTGTATTCTCTGTGTGATGGGAAGCCAGTGGAGTCGGGCGAGGATGGGGCGATAGGGTCACGGAGCCTGTGCGGGAGAGGACATGGGCTGCAGAGTTCTGGGTGATTTATGGAGGGAGGAGTTGAGGATGCCGATAAGCAGGAAGTTTGCGTAGCTAAGCCTGGATGTTATGAATGCCTGTATGAGGGGATCGGAGGCCTGCGGAGGGTAGGAGGGCTTCGGTCTTGTTGACATTTAACTGCAGGAAATTAGCTCTTATCCAGGACTTGATGTCCAACGATGTGAGGACAGCAGTGGTCCTGGAGTCAAGGGTGAAGGCAGAGAGGTACAGTTGGGTGTCATCCACATACATGTGGAAGTTGACACCATGTCTGCGGATGATGCCATCCAGGGGAACCATATACATATTGAAAAGGAGAGGGCCAAGGACAGCCCTGAGGAACATCGGATGTGATGGTGCGGGGGCTGGAGGAGAAGCCGTTAGTGGAGATGGTGGGAGAGGTGGGAGACCAGGCAAGGGCAGGTCCATGGAGATTGAACTGAGAGGAGAGGCGGTGTAGGAGGATAGAGTGGTCAACAGTGTCAAAGGCAGCAGAGAGGCTGAGGAGGCAGAGAGTCCTGGTTGCAGATGTTCAGAATGTTGTTAGTGATTTTGACCAGGGTTGTTTCCGTGCTGTGGGTATCCAGGTAAGTTTTTTGAGGATGGGGTGATGACAACTATTTTTAGCCCATCTTCTCTCCCGCACCAGGCTCTGCGACCCTATCACCCCCATCCTCGCCGGTCTCCACTGGTTTCCCATCACACAGAGAATACAGTTCAATATCCTAGTCCTCACTTTCAAGGCCCTCCACAATGCCAGTGGATAAGGAGAGGTCGATAATGTCACAAAGGTTGATAGTGAACAACTCGCCTTGTGAAAAGATATCTCCTCATCTCCCCATTGTTCCTTTTAACAACTGTTTTAAATCGGTGTCCTCGGGTTACCGACCCACCCGCCAGTGGAAATAATTTTTCCTTGTTCACCCTATTGAATCCCCTCATAATTTTGAAAACTTCTATTAAGTTCCCTCTTAACCTTCTCTGCTCCACGGAGAATAATCCCAGCTTCTCTCGCCTCTCCTTATAACCGAAGTCCCTCATTCCTGGTACCATCCTGGTAAATCTCCTTTGCATCCTCCAATGCCCTTATATCCTTCCTAAAGTGTGGTGCCCAGAACTGAACACAGTCTCTCGCTGAGGCCTAACCAATGTTTTATAAAGTTCATCATAACTTCCCGACTTTTGTATTCTATGCCCCTATTTATAAAGCCTAGTATCCCGTACGATTTTTTTAACAGCTTTATCAACCTGTCCTTCAAAGATTTACTTATATGAACCCCCAGGTCTCTCTATTCCTTCACCTCCTTTAAGATTGTACCATCGGCTTATATTGCCTCTCCTCATTCTTCCTTCCAAAATGCATCACTTCGCATTTCTCCACATTAAAGTTCATCTGCCACGTGTCTGCCCATTTTACCAGTCTGCAAACTTGGAAATTGTACTCCCTATACCCAAGTCCAGGTCATTTATACAGATCAAAAACAGCAGTGGTCCCAATACCGACCCATGGGGGACACCACTGCACACTTGCCCCCAGTCAGAAAAACAACCGTTCACCACTGCTCTCTGCTTTCTGTCTCCCAGCTAGTTCTGTATCCATGCTGCCAGTTGCAATGCCACAAAACACAGGTAAGTTTAAAACAAAGCAACTCAAAGATTTGAGGATGAAGTGATTGCAGCACCTTTTCCCAGAGTTAAAACATCTACGAATAATACAAAATTTGAAAAGCTGCCCAAGAATTTAGCATAACTGCAACTTATGTATGACTCCAACTCCATCACTGACATCTTCAGGCACAGACTCTGAGAGAAGACTTACCCCACAGGTACAGATGTCCTGGACGTATTTGATGTAGCATTGAGCCGCCTGATCTGATTCACTTAATTGCTCGTGAATCCTGAAAGTGAAGAAAAAAAACAGAATTAAATGGGGTTTCAGCATGGGTGCTGTTGGAAAGCTTGCACAGAGTACTAAAGTCTTAGAGTGCTCTTTTTCAGCATGCAAATTATTGCATTTGATTCCCCTTTTTATTTCTGAGAAGAAATGACTGTAGATTGTAAAGATTTGTTGATTTTCAAGACACTGAGTCTAAACATACAAATTCTATTATAGGAACATAAGAAATGCTGGACGAAAAAAGACCAAGGTCCATCTAGTTTACCTTCCTGGCGGTCAAATGCACATATGTCCCAAACTACCTATGTATTATATCCCATAATGTTATTTTCTAAAACTAAAACTGTTCCACAAGTTCACTATTCGCTCACCAAAATAGTAGATTGTTCTGAATTTACCTCTCCTTCAATCGCAGGCCATGTCTCTGGTACTACTATTCTGGACAAGTTGAAACAGCCTGTCATGATCTATATTGTTTAGCCCCTTTAGAATCTTAAAGACTGCAATCATGTTGCCTCTCAATCTTCTCTTTTCCAGCGTGAACATGCCCAATTTACTTAGTCTCTCCTCATAGTCCAATCCTTCCATTCCCTCAATCATTTTAGTTACCCTCCTCTGTATCTTCTCGATTTCTCCAATATCCTTTTTGTACTGCGGAAACCACAACAGTACTCTCAGTACGCTCTCACCTATGATTTATACGGTAGCAGGATTGCCCCACTATTTTGGATTGCTATTGATCTTTTGATACATCCCAACATCTGGTTTGTTTATTCACTGACACAGAGCGTTGTTGAGAGCTCCAATTTATTGTCAATCAGGACCCCCAGGTCCTTTTCATTTTCCGTACATATTATTTTCCTTCCATTCAAATAATAGTTCCTTCCAGGATTTTTGTTCCCATGTGAAGTACTTTACATTTCTCCTCATTGAATTTCATCTGCCACCAATCTGGCGAATTCCCAACTATGTTCAAATCCTCCTGTAACATATCTTGGTCAGATTCGCAATCTACCACCTTCATTAGTTTGTTGTTATGTGCAAGCGTAGACACTGTGCTTGTGACTCCTAGTTCCAGATCATTTATAAAAATATTAAACAAAAGAGATCCCAAAACAGATCCTTGTGGAACTCCACTGGTAACATTTTCCCAGTTTGATGACATTCCCTATACCACCATTCTCTGGGTTCTTCTGGTCAACCATCATCATCATGAAATAAATGTATTATTGATTGACGCATGATAAGTCTCTATTGTCTGCCTTTCAGATGAAAAACAGGACAACATTAAGGCAACAAAATTACCAAAATACAACAAAATATGTTTAATATATAATAATAATAATCCTTGCATTTGATATAGCGCTTTTCACGTCTTATAGATAGGAACATAGGAACAAGAGAAGCCACTCAGCCCCTCAAGCCTGTTCTGCCATTCTATTAGATCATGGCTGATCTGTACCTCAACTCCAATTAACTAATTCAAAGTAGTTTGATCAAAAACAGGCTCAGCAAATCAACACATCAAATAATGTAATGCTATGTAATTATGAGTGGCAGAAGGCCCGCCCACCAATAGTGGGCCGAGCGAGGCAGGGAACTTGAAGGAGGCCAAAGCCCGCTGAGTGGAGGAAGCAAACAGGTTGGTAGGGGATTAGGAGGATGAAGAGGTGGGGGGGGGGGGAGCAAGACCTTGGAGGGCTTTGAAGGTGAGGACCAGGATCTTGAACTGTATCCTCTGTAATAGGAAGAACATAACAATTAGGAGCAGGAGTAGGACATTCGGCCCCTCTAGCCTGCCCCGCCATTCAATAAGATCATGGCTGATCTAACTCCACCTATCCTCCTTATCCCCATATCTCTTAATCCCTTTATCCACAAGAAATCTATCAATCTCAGTTCAAGGACTGAGCATCTACAGCCCTTTGGGGTAGAGAATTCTATAAATTCACTACCCTCTGAGTGAAGAATTTTTTCCTCAACTCAGTGCGAAAGGGCTTACCCCTAATTTTAAGACTGTAACCCCTGGTTATAGTTTCTCCAACCAGGGGAAAAAGTCTCCCACTATCTATTCTGTCATGCCCCTTAATAACCTTATAGGTTTCTATATGATCACCTCTCATTCTTCTATATTCTAGAGAATATAGGCCTAAATTGCTCAACCTATCCTCATAACTCACCCCCCTCATCCCTGGTACCAACCTAGTGAATCTACGTTGTACCCCCTCCAAGGCGAGTACATCCTTTCTTAAATAAGGAGACCAAAACAGCACACAATACTCTAGGTGCAATCTCACCAGGGCCCTATACAGTTGCAGCAATACTTCCCTACTCTTACATTCTAACCCTTTTGTAACAAATGCCAACATACCGTTCGCCTTCCTAATTGTTTGCTGTACCTGCAAACTAACTTTTTGTGACTGGTGTACAAGGACACCCAAGTCCCTCTGAACGCTAACACTATCTAGTTTCTCCCCTTCTAAAAAATAATCTGCTCTACTGTTTTTGCCACCTAGGTCGATGACTTCACACTTCCCTACATTATACTTCATCTGCCACCTATTTGCCCACTCACCAAGCCTATTGCACTTTTTAATGAAGCCAGTGGAGTTGGGTAAAGCCTGGTGCGGGAGAGGACACGGGCTGCTGGATTCAAAGGTAACTTCCCTTTGAATATCAACTATAAAAGATGGCATTGTGGTTAAAGTTTATTTCAAGGATTTTGTTCGTTGCTCAAAATTGGGGAGGAAAAGACGATAAGAAGAACATTGAGCGAAGCGCAGTGGAGCGAGACTGGTGTAATTTTCACCCATCACATTTATACTGCAGAGGCTGTGAAGGTCATCAATCCACACTTCATTTAGGGATCCAGTGTTATTTGTGCCATGTCAAAAGTTTCTGCTGTGTGTTTGGAAGCAAATCATGCTAATTTAACATGCTAATTTAAACATTCAAAATCTCTTCTCTAAGATTGTAAATTATCAATTTCAAACATGTAGCATGTTTAAAGAGTTAAGGCTTTTCCAAACAATCCCATGGAGACAAATTTTTCTTAAAGTATATAGTAGTGGATTTGTCAGAGCACAGATCAATACTTACTTTGCAAGCTTTACTAAAGCCATTTTCTCTACATCACCAACGGAAAAGGCCCTTGAGTAACACTGGCAAAGAAAGAAAGAGAAGGAAATAAGGAAATGTAACTGCACTTTGGCTTTAATAAAAGTAAATTCACTTTCTGAAAAGAAATATTGCGAAAGGTACCTTCTTAGCATCAGTCAGTTGATTCAACTTTTCAAAGCATTCACCCAAAGCAATGAGCATTCGAGAGTCATTAGGTCTGCAGGAGGGAAAACAAGACATCAGCAATTAAATAGTGTTGACCTGTTGGGAAGGGCACAAAACGATAATAAATTGGGGAAATTCTAAGAATAATTAAAATTTTGACAGAATTTTTTATCCAAAGGAGATTTCCTCCATATAATTACAGCCAATCTATTCTCACGACCCCTTTGAACTAACCACTAAGAAAGCAATTGAAAGCAGCTTGGTGTGTTATAATAATAATAATAATAATAATAATAATCCTTGCATTTGATATAGCGCTTTTCACGTCGGGAGGACGTCCCAAAGCGCTTCACAGAACACACTGTAAAGTGAATTGACTGTATATTTGTGGGCGAACGCGGCAGCCAATTGCGCACAGCAATGTCCCACAAACAGTCGTAGATTGAAAATGACCAATTTATTATTGTTTTGTTTTGGAGGGATTATTATTAGGCTCTGTGTGGAGTAAGGAAACTTGCCCAAGGTTTCGCCCTCTGCCTGGAATTGAACTCAGGTCTCTCACTTGCAAAGCGAGTGCTCTAACCACTGAGCTACACGACATACTGCAAGACCTCAGTCACTCTGAAATGAGGGAGCTTCACCATCTGAAGAAGGTAATCACTCCCATCTTCTGCAACAGATTATGAACAATCAATAGCCTATTTATGCCTTGAAATTGTTTTCTTTAAACATACAGGAAAAAAATCACTAGTTTTTCATGTCTGCAAAACTGTACCTGAGCTGATGAGCTCGCCTGTAATAATAAAGGCAGTAAAAAGGCATCTTGAGAATCTCATATGTTTGTCCCAATCCATACCAGGCCCTGTAATCTCGCTTGTTCACCTCAATGGCATGTCTGGAAAGATGTTAAAGGGAGAGATGAAATAAATGAAACAGGGAACAATTGATCCAGGCTGTTCTAATCCACTGAATCATGTCACTACATTAATGACATTTTCACCAGATACAGTATAAAAAACAGTAAAGATCATTCACAGAGTGGGCAATAGGGAGGTGTGCTTAACTGTGCTAACAATGAAGGTCATAATGAAAGCTGTTCATAGTGAGCAAAACTATATTTTTTTATGAACGATTCTTGGTCTCCAATCTGTCTCCTTGTGTCTCTCTGTTTTCTTTCTCTTATTCACTTCCTACCTCAAGACCTTCCTCTTTGACTGCCTTCAGTCATCTTCCCACCCCCCTTAATCCACCCCCAGCTTGGGTGCACACCAGCGACTTGGAACGTCCTCCCGACGTGAAAGGGTCTATGTAAATGCAAAAAAAAATGCAATTTGTTTTTGCCCACTGAGTCATCAACGCATCTCAAAGAAGGTTGTGTTGCCATTGAATTATTCTGTGTACCTGTAAGCCTGGATAGCTGCTGATGTGTTCTTCATCTCCATATACTCGTGCCCCATTAATGTCCAAGCACCGAGGTAGCGAGGATTTAACTTCAAGGCCCGCTGGAAGTACAGGGCAGCTTTCTCATGTTGCGACCTTAAACTGTAATAATTACCTTGATTGGAAAGAGTAATATCAGAAGTCAAACAACAGCAACAACAAGTTGCATTTATATAGTACCATACATTTAGCTGAACCGTAAATAATGACAGCATACCTATCAGCATTGATTTATCTGGTATAAAAGACTATTGCAACTATTTAAAATAGTTGTTAAAAGAAACAGAGGGGAGGTGAGGAGAATTTTTTTCACACAGCAAGTTGTTCGGATCTGGAATGCATTGCCTGAAAGAGTGTTGGAAGCCGATTCGATAACAACTTTTAAGAGAGAAGTAGGTAATTATTTGGAAAGTTTACAGGACTATGGGGAGACAGCAGGGAAGTGGGATTAATTTGGATAGCTCTTTTCAAAGAACTGGCACAGACACGATGGGCTGAATGGCCTCTTTCTGTGCTGTATAATTCTATGATTGGCTTTCATTGTAAACATTGCAGTATTGCTTTAGTCGGGTGTGCATCGACAGATCAGATTGCTACTCCACAGAATGTAGAACATCCATTTGTACCTGCAATTTTATCCGTGGCAAATTTCTTTGCCTCTGCTAGGGTTAGGATGGAAAAGCAATTTTCTACAAGCCATTAGTTAGTGTCCCTGCATATACCCCAGAAGCTCTCAGGGACTGGTTTCTGACTTTGGTCTCTTCTGTATAACTGCAATGCTATCTTTTACTGTGCACTCCTTTTTCACTGCGGGATTGATTTTCTCTGCGGTATTAGCTAGTCTTGCGTCTGGATTTCTGGGGTGGAAAGTATCAACTTCTTTTGCTGGGAATGCATACGATGATTTAGTCTCAGGGAGTGAACAGAAACAGATTTGATCGGCTTTTGATTTGTAGCTTGGCATCAACTACACTCACCGATCACACAGCAGGTTTCCACTCGATACTTGTCAATTTCACACAGATTGTGGGCCAGGTAGCTCAGCTCAGGTTTCATATTCTAACAAAACAAGAAGCAAATATAAGATTCTGAAATACAGAACAATTTAGAACTCTTGCAAAAGAATGTGTCAGTAGCAATAATACATCTTGTTAGTTACAATTTAACGTGCAACAATTTGGTGTATTAGAGTTAGGAAAAAAATCTTCGAAAGGTATTTTTTTCTCTCTCGCATCAACTTTCTCCCTTCCCTCATAGGTATTGGAGTAAATTCAGTTCTGAGATTCTTACGTGTCCATTAAGATGGAATAACAATTCCACTAGCCACGACAGTAAATGAACTTACCCGGACGTACAGTAGGTTAGATAAAGTGTCCATGTTCTCTATTCTATATGGATCCTGATTCCGCAACTCATTGAAAAGGGTTAACGCTCGATCGATATCTAAAGGGAGGAGAAAGAAAATAGTTCAGCATTTCTAGAAGAGGAAATGATAGCATCACAAATAAATGCACTGAATATGTTTGAATCAAAAGTGTCTTTTATCTAACAAAAGCACAAATTTAATGATTGCTATACAGACTGTCTCCAATAGCTGACCTCTAACATTGTGGTAGGCCACAGCAATCTGGGAGATGATGTAAGTACTTTTGGAGAAACCAGCGTCGATTAGATTCTGATACTTCTGCAATGCTTCCTCGATCAGCTGAAGCTCTGTGTAAATGTGAGCCAGGAAAAACTCTTTCATCCACGTGCTGGGCAGCAGCATAGGCTTCAACTAGAAGAGAACAGCGAGTCCACTGAATCCATCATGCTATCAGAACGCACGAGAGCTAAAATTCACTGAAATCACAAAGCTTCTATGTCTAAGTATATGAGCAGGCTGGAAAAACTATATAGTGTGTGGGCCAGTGAAGTGTATGCAAACGTGTGGTAGTATTTCAAGGCTTCCCTAGCACTGATGCACTGACACAAGTCTTGAGTGCAAATCTTTGAAATAAATTACTAATCAACAAAACTACATTTGTATAACACCTACCTTTCACATCGGGAGGCCAATCAGGATTTCAGATCCGAGCAGAGGGTCGGGATTGGGGAGGGTGGGGGCAGGGGAGGAAAAAGGGTGACCAAAGGCACAGTCGAAGAAGAGGGTCTTAAGATGGATCTTGAAGGAGGCAAGGGAAGGGGTGAGGCAGAACGACTCTAGGATGGAATTCTAGAGCATGGTTGCAGAATGGCTGAAAGCCCAATGGTGGGGCGGGAGAGGCGGGGGACGTGAAGCTAGCTGCAGCCTGCTAGCGGAGGGAGTGGGCAGGTTGGTAGGAGGTTGCAGAGGTAGGGGGAAGCGAGGCCATGGAAGGCTTTGAAAGTGAGGACCAGGACCTTGAACTGTATCCTCTGTGTGATGGGAAGCCAGTGGAGTCGGGTGAGGATGACAGTGATGGGTTCACGGAGCCTGGTGTGGGGGTACACTGGCTGCAGAGTTCTGGATGATCTGCAGCCCATGATCTGCAGCCCATAGGGAGGAGTTTGGGGAGGCCGATAAGCAAGGAGTTTGCATAGTCAAACTTGGATGTTATGAAAGGTTGTTATTTGGTTGATTGATGCTTATAGAAATTTACCATATGATATAAAAAGGGTCTTCAGAAATAGGTAACTGCACACATCACATAGAGTCATAGTTATGGGAAACAGAAGTGGTAATTTGATGACCTAGCAATTAACTGTTTTAGTGCAGGAAGTCAGAGGGCTTTCTGCATGCACAGTAATTCCACCCTGTTAGAACGGTGTTGTGTCTGCTTAAGAAGCACTGCATGCAATAATTTAAGAGGGCATATGTTTAGGGTTTCAAAGAACAATTTCAGAATAGATACCAGAAAATATATCTTTACCCAGAAGGTAATTAGCCACCGGAATAGGTTAATGGATAGGGTGTATATTCTGGAAGGCTGAGATTAACTAGGCTGAAGGGGCTTCTTTATCTGAGTGACCATGCAATACGAATGCAAAAAGCCTACAAGTTACAAGTTGTAGAATTTGCCAGGACAGGAACTAGCTACGATCATTTACCATCTCCTTGTCAGTGATAAGGTTGCAGAGTTCAAGCCAGGCTCCCCAGTGCAGAGGCAGACTGTGCATGGCTTCCACAAACACATCGATAGCTTCTTTAGTCAGGTCCAGTTTCCGCAGCACTACCCCATACCTAAACAGAAGTTTAACTGAACTGAAACTTCATGGAAAGATACGTTCTTAACAATAAATTCTACGTAGAATATAGTTTATGGCTCAATACTGGTCCACATTGAGAACAAGAGATACCCGGTTTAAGTTACTTGGCAAAACAGTAGAACATCATTGTAATGAGCTTCAACATTCTCTTATCTAAAAATCCCAAATCCCACCCATCAACGCACTTCAAAATGCACTTGAAATCTCATTGTCGTGTTTCAAAATGTGTCAGAGCAACAGGCTTTCAAGCGCAATGCATGCCAGTGGAGCCAATCAGGTTTCTGTGCACATGTGCAGTAATGACACCAGTTATGGGTTCTACCGCACCAGGAAAGCTCAAGTCATTAATACAGCTACTAGATCCCCAAGAGGAGACAACAGCCTTGTTTACTGAAATGAATAAACACTTTTTTTTGTGGACGATTTTCTCTCCCCACTTCTCCACAAGTCGCTGATTTGTGCTGAGATAGTGTACCACTGGAGCTAGTTGCCCTGCTGGATCTCTCCCTAATGATTATTCTTCACCTGTGAATCCAGACAGTGAATCCTAGCAAACAGAGTTGAGAAAATCACTGCCCAGCTGACTCACTTTCCCACCCATGTCCACATGCTCAGATGTTCTGTCAAGATTCACTAAACAATTAGAAGACAGGGCCCTGATTTTTTTGCCTCCTTCCTAATGGTTAATAACAAAGGTTAACATACAGATATAGTCCAAATCCATCCAGTTCCCTTGCTTTATGCTTTTTGCTCAGCTCTACTCGTAGTTCTCTCAGGGACTCGTTCTTCACCTGTCCTTTCTCCAAGGGGCCTGTCAAGCACAGATTATAAAATACATCAAGTGTGATCTAGAAATGTACTTAAGTAATATGAAAATCAGTATCATAGAATCATAGAATATCACAGCACAGAAGAGGACATTCGGCTCATCGTACCTGTGCAGACTCTTTGGAAGAGCTACACAATCAGTCCCACTCCCCCGCTTCTTTCCCATATGCTTGCAGGTTTTTTCCTATTCAGGTACCTAGCCAATTCCGTTTTGAAAGTTGTTATTGAATCTGTTTCCACCACCCTTTCAGGCAATGCATTCCAGACTGTACAACTTCCTGTATAAAAAAAAATTCTCCTCATTTCCCCTCTGGTTCTTTTGTCAATTATCTTAAGTCTATTGTCCCCTGGTTGGAGAGGCTGCAATCTCCTCTACACCCTCTCCAAGGCCTTGATATCCCTCTAGCTAACCAGTGACTTATAAAAGTTTAGCAGAAATTCCTTGTTGTTGTACTCTATGCCACTTATAAAGCCAAGAATCCCATATGCTTTTTTAACAGCTCTATCAACCTGTCCCACCACCTTCAAAGACCTGTCATGTGAACCTTCAGGTCTCTCTGCTCCTGAACCCCCTTTAAAACTGTACCATTTAGTGTATATTGCCTCTCCTCATTCTTCCTCTCAAAATGCATCACCACACACTTCTCTGCATTAAATTTCATCTGCTATGTGTCCGTCCATTTCACCAGTCTGTCTATGTCCTCCTGCAGTCTGCTACCATCCTCCTCACTGTTTACTACGTTCCCAAGTTTTATGTCATCTGTAAACTTTAAAATGTTGCTCTCTATAACCAAGCCCAAGTTATTTATGAATATCAAAAAAGGTTGTCCACCTAATACCAACCCCTGGGGGACACCACCATATACTTCCCTCCAGTCTGAAAACAAACATTCACCACTACCCTCTGCTTTCTGTCTCCCAGCCAATTTCACATCCAGTCTGCCACTGTCCCTTTTATCCCATGGGCTTCAATTTTACTAACTAATCTATTATGTGGCACCTTATCAAACACATTCTGAAACTCCATATACACTGAATCAACTCTATCCATTATTTCATCAAAGAATTCAATTAAGTTTGTCAGACACAATTTGCCTTTAACAAACCCATGTTGACTGTCATTAATTAACTTTTGTTTTTCCAAGTGAAAATTAATTTTGTCCTGGTCTCTAGACGTTTCCCCACCACCAATGTTAGGCTGACTGACCTGCAGTTACCAGGTTTATCCCTCTCCCCTTTTTTGTACAGGGGTGTAATATTTGCAACCCTCCAGTCCTCAAGCACCACTCCCATACCCAAGGAAGATTGAACGATTGTGGCCAGAGCCTCCGCTATTTCTATCCTAACTTCCCTCAGCAACCTAGGATGCATCCTTGGTGACTTTTCTACTTTGAGCACTGCTAACCTTTTAAGTATCTCCTCTCTATCTATTTTTATCCTATGCAATTTCTCTACTGTGACATTGGCAGCATCTTTTGTGAAGATAGACGTAAAGTCCTCACTCAGTACCTCAGCCATGCCCTCTGTCTCCACAAGAAGTCTTCCTTTTTGGTCCTTAATCTCTTCCTTTCTTTGATCATCCTTTTACTCTTTATATGTTTATAGAAGACTTTAGTATTCCCTTTTATGTTACCCACTATTTTCTTCTCATACTCTCTATTTGCCCCTCTTCAGTTCTCCTCTAGTATTTTGAACCTGACATTTATCATAAGCCTCCTTTTCTTGTTTCATTTTAATCCCAATTTCCTTAGTCATCCGGGGAACTCTAGCTTTGTATTATAACAAAAAGTGTGTTTGGGTTTTAATGTATCCTTACTCTCACCACTATCCTTTTCCTACACGCAAAACATTAAAAGACATCACAAATTGTTGATATCTTCATTAACAATACACCTTAGAGCCTTCTAAAAATTCAAGTGAATTTAAAAGTAGTCAGGAGTCTTTAACACAAAATACTCTACAATACTGATCTTCAGTGGTTCTGAGACCTCTGAAAACTTCAGAGATATTTGAAATACGATGTACGTTTCTGCACATTTAATATTTAAAGAAAAGGACAAAGAAAAGATTATTGATGAATCTATGTAACTACACCCACGCTCTGGAATAACAGTATTACTGATGTCATCAATAACTGTATTACTGACTAAGAGCAGACTTCAGGAAAATAAAAATGAAGGTTAAATTAGGGATATGTTCTACTGCTGTACTATGTATATAATTACATGTTGAGCACCATTGTATTTTATCAAGATTAATTTACTAATATTGTTGCCATAGATAAATCCATATTAAACTCCAGGAGTATAATCAGAGATCATTGCTATGGTGACCCGGCAATGCTGCCAGAGTACAGTTGTCCTTACCCAGACTGTCCACGGTTTCATCATCCTTCTTCTTCTCTCCAGACTAGGGCAGTGCCAAAAAACAAAAACATTTAGTGAATTCAGTGAATTTAGTGAATTTGTTTCTATCAGAGCTGCACACAAGTGACACACTATTTGGATGCCCAATACAGTATAAATATTCAATGTGGCGAGCAAGTTATTTCCACAAAGAAACCTTCTTTCTGATCATGGTCATGTTAGGGAGTGGGGGGATGTGGTAGAAAAGTAATGAGGAGAAGGCACCTTAGCATATTCATGTAGACGTTCATGCAAATCATATCAAGAGACACACAACCAGGATCTGGCTCATCTGACTTTCCTTATGTTCAGAGAGAATACATGTGGCATGCATTATGAAATTTGGACCAAATAAGAAAGGAATAAACTTAATTTATTATATAAAAGTTTAATTAAGTATAAAAATGTATACAGCAGCTTGTAATATCTGAGCTCTGCCCACATGTACATGTTTTTACTTATCAATTTACTAACAATTGAGTTTTCAAAGAAAACTCCAAAGAAACAAGTTTTAAGGGTAGATTGCAATTAAATAAAGCACACAAAAATGGTATTGTAAGGTTCTTGCAAACTTATCAGCGATTGCCTTTCCTCCCCATTCCTTGAGCAGTGATTCTCTTCTGTCCCCCTCCCCTATCTACAATATAAGTGTGTCCTTACCAGATATCTAGAATACATATAGAGGAAGTAAGCCTTCTGACTCCGACAACCTTTGAGAAAGTATGCTGCTCTATCATACTCCTTCAGGTCAAAGTATGATTTAGCCAAAGTGTAGGCATCAAAATCCACAAGGTCATCCTGGAGCAAAAGAAACACTTTTTTAAAAAAAAGTAGTAATGTAGAAAAACCTCACAGAGCAAATACAGGGATGGGAGTAGGTCACATCGAGCCTGCTCTGGTATTTTAGCTTTGTCTTTCTTAACTCATTTCTCCATCTTTTCCTTTTCAAAATAATCAACTGTCCTCTAAAATAACTTGATCAATTTTGCATCTATTGCTTTCAGAACAAGTCAGCCCATTCCTCATAACTGTTTATGTAAAAAAATCCCTGTTCTTCTTCTCGGCTGGACTACTCTAACGGCCTCCTTGCTGGTCTCCCAACCACTACCATCCATAAAATCCAAATCATTCAAAATTCTGCCGCCCGCATTCTCACCCGCACCAAACTCCGCTCCCTGATCACCCCAGTCCTTGCCAGACTGCACTGGCTGCCTATCCCAGAGAGGATCGATTTCAAGATCCTCACCCTTGTATTCAAGTCCCTGCACTCCTCTGCACCCCCCGACCTCTCTGACCTCCTCTCTCCTCAAAACAGTACCCATTGCTTTCGTTCCTCCGGGTCTGGCCTCCTCCTCGTCTCCCCGAGTCCTCCGCTCCACCCTCGGCGTCCGTGCCTTCAGCCACTATGCCCCGAGGCTCTGGAACTGCCTTCCTCACTCCCTTTGCCTCGCCACCCCCGTTTCCCATTTTCAGGTCTCTGCTAAAAACCTTTCTTTTCGACCGCACCTTTGATCACCATCCCCCCCCTCCCCCTGGGATCCATTACTGTAAAGCACTCTGAGACGCCGTCCGACGTGGAGGGGCTATATAAATCCAAGTTGTTGTTCTTGCCCGGCTTCCATCCCTCAGAGAATCAAGTACAAAACTCTGGTTCTCACCTTCAAAGCCCTCCACGGTCTTGCTCCCCCCTACCTCCTAAACCCATATCGGCCTGTCCACTCCCTCCGCTCGATGGATTTTAGGTCTTCCTGCCCCACCATTGGTGGCTGGATATTCAGCATCTCTGCCCCCACACTCTGGAACTTTATCCTGCAATCTCTCCGCCTCACCCCCTCTTTTTCCTCCTTCAAGTCCTGTCTAAAGATCTTCCTCTTTAACCATGCCTTCGGCCACCCTCCCACCCACACCATCCCTGGCCTCCACCCCTCCTAACCCCAACTCCCATCTCGGGTCCAAAAACTCCTGGCTGGCCAGCGACCTGGGACGTCTTTCTGACATGAAGGGCTCTACGGTATATTCTGTGATGCGCTTTGAAACGTCTCGAAGACGTGATAAGGCGTTAATCAAATGCAAGGATTATCATTATACAAGTGAAATTTGTTGTCGTTTAACCTAGATAAAATGAATTGTAATCGAAAATTCTATCAAATACTTAATGCTAAAACACAGCAACAATCAGAATGAAATATTCCTGAGAGAGTACAATTTCTTCTTTAAAAATCTCCTTTCTCTGATTCCCTTAATCTCCACATGGATCAGTTAGAACTAAAACAAGACAACTGCTTACAGATTTCTGACACTGCACTCTGAACTATAACTGGGTGGTACTCATGTATGGCCAGGGATAACTGATGTCTACGGAGTAATATATGACCTCCAATCTCAAAGTAGCATGATAAGGATGGACACCATGCTCTCATCAGGCTTTCCTTTTCTCCTCAAGGCACTTGTTAACACGCTGAACAGAACACGCTGCCTGGTCTTGTGCTATTTCTGTCCACTAGCACAAGCACGAGACCCACTTTAGCCTCCAATATTTTCCCTGTTTCCCAAAAAGGCACAAAACAGATAACAAATCTGCAAGTTTCTATTATCACCACTAGAATGTGGATAATGAGATTCAAACTGTGATATACAACAAACCCAATATCCAGCAACGGGTGTTTAAAATGTTAATTCCAAAAATGCAACCTTTGTAGAGTGCTCAAAAATTACAGAACTGATTTACCTCTGTGACTGGAGGAACAGGAGGCACCTCATCCTTTGGAAGTGGATCCAGAGAGAAGGCCAATTCAGAAGCCCTGTGGAAGAAAGAAAACGACGAACATTTTTAAAGAAGTAAAGACCAAGAAAAAAAAATGAGCAAAAGTAGATCAGAAGGAGAGTTCATTGAGTGTATGAGAGATAACTTTCTAGAGCAGCATGCCGAGGAACCAACTAGGGAACAGGCCATCCTAGACCTTGTTTTGTGTAACAAAACAGGGCTAGTTGGCAGTGTAGGTATTAAGAATAGGACAGAGTGATCACAATATGATTGAATTCTGCATTAAGTTAGAAAGGGATATAGTTAAATCCGAGGCAAGTATTCTGAATTTAAATAGGGGTAATTTTGTAGGTATGAGGAAAGATTTAGGTAAAATAGACTGGAGAATAAGATTAAGACGTAAAAATGTAGACCAACAGTGGCAAATATTTAAGGATGTAGTGCAAAATTCTCAGCGGTCGCATATTCCCTTGCGGAATAAGAGTACCACATTCATCCGTGGCTAACTAGAGCAGTTAGGGAAAGCATCAAATTAAAAGAAAAGGCTTATAAAACTGCCAAGAAAAGCAGCAAATCTGAAGATTGGGAGAGTTTTAGAAACCAGCAAAATAAAACTGAAAAGCTCATTAAGAGCGAGAAAAAGGAGTATGAGGGTAAGCTCGCTAGGAACATTCAGTCTGATTGTAAAGGTTTTTACAAATATATTAAGAGGAATAGGCTAGTGAGGGTAAATGTAGGTCCACTTCAGTCAGAGAAGGGAGAAGTTGTAATGGGGGATAAGGACATGGCAGAGTCCCTAAATGGGTACTTTGCATCTGCCTTCACCCTAGAAGACTTGTTGGCAAGTCTGCCAACAACAAAGATGCACCAAAGGGATAAGGACAGGGAGCAACTTAGGGAAATTTTCATTAGTAGAGAATTGGTGCTGGGGAAACTGTTAGCACTAAAAAGTGACAAATCCCCTGGTCCGGATGGCTTGCATCCCAGGGTTTTAAAAGAGGTAGCTTATGAGATAGTGGAGGCCTTATGTCTGATCTTCCAAAATTCCTTGGATTCTGGAACAGTCCCCATGGATTGGAAGATCGCAAATGTCACACCACTATTTAAAAAAGGTGGAAAGGAAAAGATGGGGAACTATAGGCCAGTTAGTCTCACATCAGTGATAGGAAAAATTTTAGAATCGTTGATTAAGGATGTGGTAGTGCGGTATTTAGAGGAGCACAATATAATTAGGCCAAGTCAACATGGCTTTACAAAAGGGAAGTCATGTTTGACAAATCTCATAGAGTTTTTTGAGGATATTTCCAGTAAACTAGATAAGGGTGAATCAGTGGATGTGGTCTATTTGGACTTCCAGAAGGCATTCGATAAGGTGCCGCATAAAAGGTTAGTCCAAAAGATAAGGGCCCATGGAATTGGGGGGAGCATATTAACGTGGATTGGGGAATGGTTAACGGTAGGAAACAAAGAGTAGGGATAAACGGGTCCTTTTCAGATTGGTGGGATGTGACTAGTGGAGTGCCACAAGGATCAGTCCTTGGGCCTCAGCTATTTACCATCTACATCAACGATCTAGATGAGGACATCGAAGTTAATATATCTAAATTCGCGGATGACACAAAACTAGGAGGAAGTGTCAACACAGAGGACGACATTAAAAAATGCAGCGAGACATAGATAGGTTAGGTGATTGGGCAGGTAGGTGGTCGATGAAGTATAATGTAGGGAAGTGCGAAGTCATTCACCTAGATAGCAAAAACAGTAGAGTGGGTTATTTTTTAGGAGAGATTGAAATGTGTTAGCGTCCAGAGGGATTTGGGTGACCTTGTACACCAATCACAGAAAGTTAGTCTGCAGGTGCAGCAGCAATTAGGAAGGTGAACGGTATGTTAGCATTCATTATGAAAGGATTAGAGTATAAGAGTAGGGAAGTCTTGCTGCAACTGTATAAGGCCCTGGTGAGACCACACCTGGAATACTGTGTGCAGTTTTGGTCTCCTTATTTAAGGAAGGATGTACTTGCCTTGGAGGGAGTGCAGCGTAGATTTACTAGGTTAGTACCAGGGATGAAGAGGAAGAGTTACGAGGATAGGCTGACCAATTTGGGCCTATATTCTCTGGAATATAGAAGAATTAGAGGGGATCTTATAGAAACCTATAAGATCATCAAAGGGCATGATAGAGTAGATAGTGGGAGATTGTTTCTCCTGATTGGAGAAACTAAAACCAGGGATCACAACCTTAAAATCAGAGGTCAGCCCTCTTGCACTGAGTTGAGGAAGAACTTCTTCACTCAAAGGGTAGTGAATGTATGGAACTCACTACCCCAAAGGGCCTTGAACATATTCAAGACTGAGATAGATTTCTTATTGCAAAAGGGATTAAGGGATATGGGGATAAGGTAGGGTTAGGTTATTAGCTGGAGTTAGATTAGAAGATCAGCCATGATTGAATGGCGGGGCAGGCTCGAATGGCCGAATGGCCTACTCCTGCTCCTACATGTTATGTTATGCATTTGTCAACAAAGACCCTAGATCACAAATAACCTGCGCTTTTCATAGCATAACCCATTTGATAGCTAAAGTTGTGCATAAATCCAGCCTCTGTGCCCCCGGTGTCAGGGCTGGTACTGAGCTCTGTGCCCCCGGTGTCAGGGCTGGTACTGAGCTCAGTGCCCCCGGTGTCAGGGCTGGTACTGAGCTCTGTGCCCCCGGTGTCAGGGCTGGTACTGAGCTCAGTGCCCCCGGTGTCAGGGCTGGTACTGAGCTCTGTGCCCCCGGTGTCAGGGCTGGTACTGAGCTCAGTGCCCCCGGTGTCAGGGCTGGTACTGAGCTCAGTGCCCCCGGTGTCAGGGCTGGTACTGAGCTCAGTGCCCCCGGTGTCAGGGCTGGTACCGGCCTCTGTGGCTTGATTCCCAGGCGCTGCTCAGGGCTTTCCCGCCGCCAGGTTTGCAGGCCTCGGCCTCATGCGCCCACTTTCTCTCTCTCTCTCTCTCTCTCTCTCACCACTTGGCGCTCTGCATGAGGCCGCGCTCCCGGCACAGGCCGATCACCGCCATCAGCCCTTTCTTCACCTCCTTCAGGTCAGGAAACTCGCTGGGCGCCGCCGCCATCTTGCACCGGTGCGCGCTCTCGCCGCTTCCTCCCTTAGCAACCGCACCCCGCAACATGCCCGCATCCCATTGGTGCACCTCCAGCCCCGCCCCGCCCCGCCCCGCCTGACTGACAGCTGTCCAGATAGTATGATTGACAGCCGTCATTCAAGGCTGAACTGACCGGAGTTATTAAACTTCAGTAATAATAATAATCCTTGCATTTGATGTAGCATCTTATCACTTTGGTGAGACATCTCAAATAGCTTCACAGAATATACTGTAAAGTGTGTGTGAACCACGGCAGCCAATCGCGCACAGCGGTGTCCCACAAACCGTCATGGATTGAGTGACCAAGTTACTATTATTATTTGAAGGGATTATTATTACCCCCTTCTCATTGTAATCAAACAGTGTAATCTAAGGAATATTTAATTACAATGAGAAAGAAATGGTTTATTTAAATCAGAAATTGAATAAAAAAACACTTGGCTGATTGGTAAATTATAAATCATAGAATCATAGAATTATACAGCACAGAAGGAGGCCATTCGGCCCATCGTGTCTGTGTCGGCTCTCTGACAATAGCGTCCAAATCAACCCCACTCCCCCGCTCTCTCCCCATAGCCCTGCAAACTTGTCCTCCCCAAATAATTATCTACTCCTCCCTTAAAAGTTGTTAACGAATCAGCTTCCACCACCCGTTCAGGCAATGCATTCCAGATCCAAACAACTTGCTTGTGTGAAAAAAATTCTCCTCACCTCCCCTCTGTTCCTTTTAACAACTAATTTAAACTATTTTAAAATATTATACCAAAGAAATCAACCCCACTCTCTCCCCATAGCCCTGCAAACTTGTCCTCTCCTAATACATAATGGAAGTAAAAAATTGTTCATTTGTTTAATGTCAGTTTCATGCAATGATTTTCAGGTGATATTGCAACAAATTCCATCAACCAGAATTTGTTTTCAAACAAATCTTTTAAGACTTTTTTAGAAATGTTCTAATCCTGAATTAAAACAAGCTTAAATTTCTTCAATACCTGGGCAAGAACTGATTTTGGAGCAAAAGGTCCAAAATTATTCTAAAAGGTTGGTGGATCATTGTCTATGAGATGGGCATCAGAGATTACTGATTGAGCAATTTATACTGGGAATTACATCTGCAACATTCTGGTCTTTATGGTTTAGTTCCATAATGAGCAACCTTTAAAAGTAGATAGACTAAAAGCTTAGTGTAACACATGAATATGATAACCTGAGGCAATGTCTGTCAGTGCCTCCGATTTCAGTGTTTCAAAGACTGAGCATGCCCCCAAATCCCTTAGTGAGGGATGGCATATTTTAATTTGTTTTCTACTGTCTTCTGTTGTCTGCTATTATGGTGCTCGGTGATGCCAAAATGTTCTGGCTCACACATCAACCAACAAATGCACATTCACTACACTACACAGTAAAGGAAAATTTGTTGAGGTGTTTTGAAACGTCTCAACATTAATAATGCTATACCATATGCAAGAATTATTATTTTTATCATTTCTTGAATGATTCCTTCTGCTGCGCTTCTTCAATAACCCCTCATTTCCTATTGCTCGCCAGCAGAGTGCACCAAATGACAGGTTTTGTGCTGCTCTTAGATCAACAGCTACACAAAAGTTGAAGTTAATATTTAATTAATAATAATTTTTACATTTAATACAGTGCCTTTATGTTGGGAGGGTGTCTCAAAGCTCTCACAGGTTATACATAAAGTATATAATATCTGCAATTTTGTAGGGGAATGTAGCAGCCAATTTGCACACAGTAACATCCCACAAACAGCCATGAAGTGAATGAACAATTTTATTTAGGGGATTGTTGGCCAGGACAGCGGGAGAAACTCCCTTGTTGTTACCTCGATTGCTCTGACAACTAATTAATTTAATGAAATACAAGGTTTTCTAGCGGAACTCGTGCTTTTTGCAACTTTTAGAAAGTGAATTGATATTTACATGCCACTGCGTTGAAAAATGAGGATTCAAGAAGTGATTTATACCTCTCTGTTAATGTACACATGGATGACATTTTATAGAATATATAGTAATTAAAACTTTAAAGAGCATATTGGAATCCTGAATTATTTTCCCCATCAATCACAATAGGAACCAAAGGAGAAAATAGCTGGAATTTTTAGACTGAACAAGCTCCAGAGCATATATGAAGGGTGGGGGTGAGAGTTGTATATTGAAACAGGATGTACTCAATATATCTTCATCTCAGCTGCAATCGAGAGATCACATTCATGTGTCAGTTTGGCTCAATTGGGATTTGAGCTCATAGTCCAGGCTGACATTGCAGTGCAGTAATGGTAAATGCTGCATTATTAAATGTGCTGTCTAGTGTTTCAGCCTGTCTCAGTGGGTAGACTCACCTCTGAGTCAGAAGGTATGGGTTCATTCCCTACGTCAGGACTTGGAACTGATATAGTCTAGACTGAAACTGGCTGTATGCTGCATTGTCGAGGTGCCATCTTCAGATGAGATGTTAAACCAAGGCCCGATCTGCTTGTTCAGGTGGATGTTAAATATCCAGGGCACTATATGAAAAAAAAGGGAGTTTTTTGCCCAATAATCTTCATGAATGCTGTGGTGCCTTGTGGTGCACAAATGACTGCTATATTTGCTTACCAAATGTCAAATCATTTGACAATAATTACCTGAGATGTGAAAAGGCGCTACGAAATCCAATTTCTTTCATTATATCCTAGAAGGGAAAAGCAGTCAAATACTTCAATGCTGCAAGAAAAACTCATACATACAATGAAAAATTGGACATTTAGTCCTTCAGAGCAGAACACCAATTCACTACATTTTAGCTCAGAGCCATTACATGTGGCTTCTGCTTTGGGAGTGCAGAAGGTATCTATTCTAAAGAGGGTATTAAGGAGACAGGGGGCATGCACATCTATTGCATGCACAAAAACCCAGACTTAGAAAGGGGGAAGAATAGATCTGCCCCTCCCCTTCACACGCAGTATTATAATCTTTTGTGCCAGGAGATTTGAGATCTCATTAACTGCATGAAAGCTGTCCTAAGTTGGGACATGCTGTGACTTGCACTTAGTGGAGTGACTTGTAATCCTGAAAGCCAATTAAATGCTCCCAGCGGTCCTTAATCAAAGGAATAACATTTGTGCTTGTAGCAAGTAAGCAAATGTAATTATTAATGTTCCTCCGATTAGTGCCTGCCTCTGTAAAAGGCTTTTCTGCAGTAAATATTCAGTCTCCTGTCTTAAAAAGCGTTTACATCTGAATGACGTTCCGAATGGATTTGTAATCATCCTCTACTTAAGTCTGATGAAAATATGTGAGCATTTGATGGGGAGAACCACCAGAGATAAGGTGAGACACAAAGGGTGACCTTTGAGCATCATCCAGTCCATAACTCTGAATTTCACATCTTTAAATGAAAGGTTTTATTTCGCTCAGCTAGGTATCTGAAACAGGTGGAAAACCAAGAGTTGGGTTTCCAAACCAGACTGAGTTCCACATATGCAATTCCACCTACTTATGAAAATTTCCATGTAACTGAAATGGAATGTGTACTCCCTATCTGGAGGGATGCACTCTGCTTACCTAATTCCTGCGTATTTGGGACAGGATGATGAGAGCCAAGGCTTGGGGACCCCAGAGTGTGTGTTGGGAGTACTGCTGGATTTTAACTGGCTAAAACTCAATTTACCATTGAGAATACTGTCAGGCAAAAGTGGAAGACACAGAGAAAATCTACTCTAAGTCCTGGAGAGAACTCCCAGAATCATGGGAGAGGATGTGATCAATGTCATATTTTTTTCCTCATAGTATGTTACAAGCACTGAAGCAAGCAAGGGGCTCATCAAGTCAGCACTGGTATATTTCACCGTATGAGCCACCTTGTCTAATTTCACTCTCCTGTTGAGCCACTCTGTCAATTTTCTAATTGGCAGCACAGGTGTGCTCTATACTGCTTCAATATAATGTGCTGTCAATGAATAATGGTGGCAAAGTGCTCTGTATTACTTCAATATAATGTGCTGTCAATGAATGATGGTGGTAAAGAATTGAGGAAGGGAGAAAAAATTTCCAAATTATCCCAACTAGTTGAATTGAGACAAAAATTGAATGGATCCAAGTTGTCCTAAGTACTAATTCAGACCCGTTGGGCTCATGTCATGCCAGCCAAGGGCAGGGATCACTCTCTATCAGCTGATCTCCCCAACGCTAACCTCTTATAATAATAATCCTTGCACTTGATATAGTGCTTTATCACTTCATTCAGACTTCTCAAAGCGTTTCACAAAATATACTATAAAGTGAATTGACTGCATATTTTGTGCGCAAACACAGCAGCTAATTGTGCACAGCAATGCCACACAAACAGTCGTGGATTGAATGGCCAAATTATTATTCTTTCTTTCATTCATTCATTCATTCATTCATTCATTGATGGGATTATTAACCCTGAAAAACAATCCACCAATCAACTAACAGCTGAGTTCCTACTCACTACTAGGTAAACGGAGGCATGTGGAGTAAGGAAACGCCTACGGTTTTGCCCTGCCCGGGAGTAAAACCCAGGTCTTCATGGTTGTGAGACCAATACTCTACATGACTAACACATGCTTGAAGCTTATCACTGTGTTTACAGTCTCGCAACTGCTCCAAGTGGGCCAACATGCGTCAACATAGCATAGAAATACTATGGGTTTATAAGCAGTAAAGATACGTTGACACAAGAAATCCACTAACTCATGCAAATAAAGTCATTGATATTGACAGGATATCGGGGCAGAGGCTGACGCACTAGAAAAGGTCATTAAAGGGAATATTGACTCCAGTGTTTCAATTTTACAATGTTTACAAAGGTTGACTGTTAGTGATTGTTTGCACTCTGTGCTGTTAATCGCAACCCACATTTAAAGGGGCCACGCCACAGAATTGGTTGTTTTTCCGGGTGTATGTGCTACCTGGGACAGCCTTCTCCACCACATTGTTCAGAGCCCAGTAGAGGAAATGACTGAAATTTCATCTTGTCTTAGGCTGTAAGGCTATTTTATGTTAAAATATAAGACTGCAAAATTGTGCAAAA